TTACCTGCAGGCAGCAGATGAGCAGCGGCATGTGAGCGATGATCACTTTACTGGACGTCTTGGACTGCAGCTTCTCCGACAGTTTGGTGCAGAGGTTCTCGGCTCCTGGTGGAAAAAAATACCAAAGAAGGGGAGATTTTTTTTTTTTATTCATTTTTTGGCGGGTTCCGACAGCGACGCCCCCTCCCCCTTCCCCTCGCCGCTCACCTTGCTCTTCGGTCACGGCCCACACCATGAGGTCCACGCAGGCAGCGTTGGCCTGGCAGCGCAGCTTGAGCGGGCTGAGTTCGCTCTGCAGGTACTCCACGTCGTGCAGGATCCTCTGCAGCTCCGACTGGCTGCTGCTGAACTGCTCCAGCACGAAGTCGTGGACCTCCTTCACGTAGTCCGTCTGCAGGTCTGGAGAGAGAGCGTGCGCGAGCGCCGTTACAGCTCGCGCCCACGTTTGATTTGAACCATTTAGAGAAGAAGGGCGGGTCCGTTCACCTTTTAGATTGTACAGAGTGTCTCTCAGCATTTTAAATATGGCGACATACAGAGGGTCACTGAAGGTTTTGTAGTAGAGATGAAGACTGGGATTTAACTGAGAAGAAAGAGGCAGATATGAATCAATGAACCAGGAGTGTAAAAACTATATTCAAAAAACAAAGTGGACAAACATCTGACCTCCAGAAGTTCTGCCAGAGACTCATCCAGCGATTTCAGGAAGGACTCAGACACAAACTGTTCCACCTGTGGGAGAGAAGCGACTGAATCAGACTGCACGTTGTCTCCTCTCGTTCCCCTCAGACTCCACGTTCATCGCTGGCCGCTCACCATGTGGAGGAGCTGCCTGAGCATGTCCAGGGGCACGAGGAACTCCCCGGAGCTGCTGCCGGTGAAGAGAGGGGAGACGGAGAAGCTGGAGCTGATGGTGGAGAAGTAGTAGTCCGGGTCCACGGCGCTGCCGTCGGGGAGGTAGGAGCCTGCACAGTGTTCAAAGGGATCATTGTGGATGCGTTGAAGTATTTCCCCTCCTTCACTCCGCTCTCGGTGAAAGAGGGGAAGTTTTCATCTCCGGCAGTACGACAGTCCACCGCTGCCCCGGCCTGAAGTCCTCACCTTCAAAGTACTGTGCGGAGGGGTCAGCAGGTGAGATGGGGGTCAGACAGGCTCTCTCCGGACTCGCCTGAAAACACAGAAACGCTCTGAGTGGGACGGCGCGGCTCTGCGATGGGTCACCGTCACCATTTGTCCCCGTCGGGTGCTTCCCGCTACCTGTTGGCTGGAGCCCTTCCGCCGCAGCGCGTCCCCCTGGTACACCGTGAGCAGAGAGCTCGGCAGGATGGAGCGGAAGTCGTTGAAGGAGCGGCGCTGCGCGGCGTCGCTTTCGTCGGCCGTCGGCGGCGTGGGAACCACCGGCCGGGGGAACAGCTTGGAGAGCAGCGGCTCGTCCGTGTTGCTGTATCGGCCGAAAGCCCGGGCGGCGCCCAGCAGGGTGGGCACGGTGTACCGGCACAGGTACTCTGCGCACGGGGAGAGGGGGAGGTCAGGGGCGGTCAGCGTCAACGCAGGAGGAAGAAGCAGCTGCGTGACGTCGGTACCTTTGTCGTGCGCCTCTGGGTCTTTGCAGATGTCTTGCAGGACCTTCATGATGTCCATGATGGCCTCCAGGATCTGACAAGATCAATGTAAACATGATGGATTAAAAAGGGGCCTTTATTTCCCCACGTTTCACTGTGACGTCTCATTCTGGAGGAGAAGGTTCACTCAGAGGGACGTCTCGCTCTAAAGGACGAGTCTCGGCGTAAAGGACGACTCTCGACGTAAAGGACGAGTCTCGGCGTAAAGGACGAGTCTCGACGTAAAGGACGACTCTCGACGTAAAGGACGAGTCTCGACGTAAAGGACGAGTCTCGACGTAAAGGACGAGTCTCGCTCAAAGTCTCTTTCTGAAATTCCGTAGAGTCTCTTCACAGCGAGCATGAGGAGAAGGAACAATGTCAGCAACCAAAGGTGCGCGCGCACACACACACACACACACACACACACACACACACACACACACACACACACACACACACACACACACACACACACACACACACACACACACACCTGCCCTCGTAGGGTCTCATCCCGTTGGGCTACGTCTGAGAGGAGGGTCACCAGACCAAAGGTGAAGATCTCTGCCACAGGGAGGGTCTCTGAGTAGGACACAAGCGTATTAAGTAACAGACGGTCTTATAGAATATTAGAGAGACATATTTCATGACACGTGTGTGTGTGTGTGTGTGTGTGTGTGTGTGGTTACCCCGTCCTTTACGCTCAGAGCTTTCTTCAATCCACTGAACCTTGGGGAGCCCTTTGAGCAACCCGAGCAGGTAGGGGACGATGGCGTCTTTGTGCTGCAACACAAGCATTCACAGCACGTCACACAGGGCGGGGAGGGGGGGGTGGGGGTGGGAGGGGGGGGGGTCCCACCAACAAGCATGCAGGCGAAGAGGGTAAAACAACGTTTACCTGCAGGTCGGACTCCACCAGAAAGATGCCCAGCGCGATGACGGCGTCTCTCCTCCTCTCGTCCAGCTGGAAGACTCCCCTGAAGTCCACGGGACACATGCATTGTAGCTTCTGCACCTGAGAGGACACCACACACACACACACACACACACACACACACACACACACACACACACACACACACACACACACACACACACACACCGGCCTCTTACTGCAGGTCTCAGCTGAGGCTCAGGCCTGAGATGGATTTATCCACCATTCAAACATTGTTCAGGATGCTGTTAAAAGGCCAAGAGGGGAAATTTGTGGAGTAAAAACATTGGATTTCAAAAGATGAATAACATGTTTACTGGATTCAAAAACAGTTTTTAGGTTTCAGTCGGTTGGATCGCAAAGATCTTATAGAACTACCACCTGAAAGGCGGTTATAACCTGTAGAACGAGGCCTGAAGCAGCTGAAAAGAAAATGAAATGTACAGCTCGACACGTCGGGATGATGCTTCTGGCTTTCATAACAAGCACATTTCAAAAGACCTGTTCCTGCAGTTATTTCATCATACTAAGCACATACAGGGCTACACTTCCTGTGTAGTTTTAAATCATTTCCCCATTTTAAACCTCAGTGGGTTTTATTTCCTAATCACTTCAAAGTTGTGTCCGTGTCGTAAACCCGACCACAAAAACGTCCTGAGTCCATCAAAGTCAACCGCTTTATTCCAACAACTTTATTTCAGCTGCAGAACCTCAACAACGTGTAACGCTCAATAGGACTCATTAACGTTTCCTCATCATGTTTTGCAAGAGGAAAAGACCACATCTTCTGGGTGGACTTTAAGCCGGTCGCCTCCCTCTCGTGGCTGTGTGTCATGCATTCTTCATATTCAATCTTCTCTTGAGGTGATGATGGTAATACGGAGCGTATTCTTCCTCTTTGTCTCGGCCTGATTAACCTGTTTGGACTCCCTGTTGCCTCATGGTTCCCATAGATACAAATGTTTAAATAAATTTGCCCACACGCACACACACACACAGAAGGAAACTCGCCTTTCTAGACTTTATTATTTACTGTAAAATGCACCAAACAAGCCAATAAGATGAAAGGTTCTCCCACTAGATCTTGACCCTGGGAAACAAGGCCACATATCAACGGACTCAGTTTATTCTGAGCAATTGGAAAGTTGTAGAATGAGCAGAAGAGCAGTGAATCTGGGCCTCTGGTTTCCCCCCCGAGGGGCAGCAGCTCGTTTTCCTGCCTGATTGCTGATCCATCCTCCCTCCTCTTCATCAAAGCCATTCAAGTCAATCACTATTGATTGTTGCTGCCGGACACACAAACAACGTGTCACCCTGGAAAAGGCTGCAATTAGCTAAAAGAGACGTTGATCCAAACCCCCCCAGTAAGCAGGATATTTCTTATAAAGCAGCTGACAACGTTTCTCAGCTTCCTCTTGCATTGAAAAAAAACACTAGGAATCACTGCGAATAAACAGTTTTATAAAGAGGAAAAGTGGACTGAGGCAGTTTGTCTGGACTCGCACTTTTAAGTTGTTCCCTCAGCTTTACGTCTGACGTCATAAGAATCTGAATCTATCTTGATCCAGATCTTCTGAGCCAAATGAGTATACGCATATATCAACGTGGATTTACATATTATGAAGGAGAATAACGTGATGGAGGAGCTTCCCTTCCTCTCACACGTCAAGTCGCAACCCGAGTGGAAGATTAGCTGCTAGCTCCCAGGTGAAAAACAGCTAGCGTTAGCCGCCGTCCGCTTCAAGCTGTTAGCATATAAATCCCACAAAGACAACGGACTAAAGCACGCGTTCTTTATCCCGTGACACGGATCGAACCTGGCGGAGGAGCGAAGAGCGGTCCGTTAAGGTCAAATGTCCTCATTTCTGTTCTTTCTGACAGGTACTGACGTTAGCTTGCTACCGTCGCTAGCCGTCGCCACGTAACAACGTTACCTTTTCTATCGGAGCCTGCCGGTGAGCCGCTAACGACCGGGCCAGAGACAAGACGGTGTTGAAGTAGAAGCCCCTGCTTGCCCCTCCGTTGACAGACATGTTTTTTTTAAAAGAGTCCTTAATGCCGCCACAAGAACACAAACATCTTCTTTCATTCAGTCCCGAGCAGCACTGACAACTACGGCGAGCGCGAGCTGGTCAAAAAAAAAAGGCGAAGCAAGGTCACGGTGCGTAAGCGCTAAGAGCCGCAGATAACACAGTACATCTGACCTAGAACCGCACCAGACAACACCCCGGGGGGGATTTACTCAGCAGAGGTGTTATACGTCATTGTATACATGTACTCCAGGAGATTTCAGAGACAAATATTGTACTTTTTACACGTGTTGTACTTCGCTACCTGACATCTGACTGGAATAAGCAACATGTTAAATGCAGGACTGTTACTTGAATAACTGTGTTATAACCAACTTCACTTTAGTTGCACCAAAAAATTTGAAATTATTCATGTAAATGAACACGACAAAATGAATTGTCTGATCACATGTTTTATTTTTGTTTACTTATTAAAACTAATTGGACTGAACGTACAATACTCTGTTTTAACGACTGGCATATTTTTTATGTCTTAGATATTTAAATAGTTATTTTTCATTTAGTTTAAATGATTGCAAGCAGGAGTAAACATTTGTAAAGCAATTGGTAGCATTACATGCCAGACTCACAAGCTACAAAACGCCAGTCGGCACATCGGCTCGTCAGCTGGTGTAAAAAGTAAAAAGGCAAAAATTTAAAAATCTAAAACAAAATCTGCAATCAAATGTATCGTCAATCATTCTTCCTTCCTGGAATGAGACAGAAGGCACTATTAATGGCACTTTTCAAAACAGGCATGTCTATGCAATTAAGACAATTTAACACCTCAGAAATACCACAGAAACCTGGGATTAAACATCCGGCACCATTATTAAAACATCTGTAGTGACTGAAGCACGTACAACATTCAACGGTTCTTTGTCTCAAAAGATCACAAAATCAATACACAGGCACTTTTTTTTATAGCATCGTAGCTCGTAAGTCATTTGACTTAAAACATCTCTGCAACTTAGAATCAAACACCTCAACAATGGAAAAGTGGATTTCTAAAGTAGTCGCGTCACAAAAAGAATTCAAATAAAATGGATCTGACATTTGGGATTTAAGGCATTTAGATCTCAACGCGAGCAGCGTTGCACATCTGGACAATAATTACATCATCAGATTCTGGATGAGGTCTTTTAGAAAACAAATCTATTTCTTGCATATAAAAAGGGCTTCAATAATCTCTCGTTTCAAGTATAACGTCTTGGTCTACAGTGTCTGGATCACATTTTGTTGGCTGTTTGCTTTGCTTTATATTAACTCTATAAAAGTGTTTGTCCGCGCTGACTGTTCCCGTTTCTCGTTCCTTCTCCCTGAGCTCTGAAGGAACTTTCCCGCTGTCGGAATTTAAGAAAAAGAAGAAGAAAAAAAAGAAGGAAAACGAGGAAGAGGAGGAGGAGGAAGTGTGAGCGGCGACTTTTCTTTTGCTTCCCACGTGTCATGAATAAAAAGCACAGAACACACCGATCCCCGTCTCCGCTCTCTGGGAGTCGCGTAGAGGCAGACGTCAGAAGTGTCAAAGCGAGGCGGCGGCGGCGGCGGCGGCCTCCCGCTCAGTCCGTCTTCCAGACCACGTTGAGGAACTTCACCACCTCCTCGTAGATGATGAAGACGATGGCCACGTCCATGCACACCCGACCCAGCCGGGGCACCGTACCTTTGTAGAACCTGCGAGAAGAAGAGGGTTCACATGCTCACCAAGGAGATGTGCGCACATCTGTTTGGATGGTGTTAAAAGCGGCTCCCGTGTGAACTCACGCCATCGGGCCCTCGTGCTTCATGATCTTCACGGCGCAGTCCATGGTGCTTTTGTACTTGTGAGCCTCCAGACCCTGCGGGAACAACACACGGCCGGTCAGGTAAGTACCGCAGGCTCCTCCTCCAGGTGAGCAGGGGGCTCCACCCACCTGCATCCGGGTCTTGATGACGTCCAGCGGCGTGTTCCCGAAGACGCTGGCGGCGCCGGCGACGGCGCCGAACAGCCCGGTGATCAGAGGGTTGATGGCTTTGCCGGTGTCGTCGCCTTCGGGGGGATTTCAAGAGAACGGAGGGAAAGAGGATTCGGTTTAGTTATTTATTAGTGGATTTGCACAAAGACACACGCACACGCACACACACACACACACGCGCACACACACGCACACGCACACACAGACCTTTGTACCAGTTCCTCAGGGAGGTCATGACGTAGAAGCGGATGGCCTGGTTGGAGCCTTGCTTCAGCACCGTGGCGGTGAGGCCTTGGTACGTCCCCTTCAGCCCTGCAGACACAAAGGGGGCGGAGCTTCGTCACCCTCGCGGCCCCCCAGCTCAGGGAGCAGCGCGGGTGAATAACTCATAACTAAGATATCTATGGAGGGGCTGAAGACGAGACTGAAGAGTTCTTCTTCATCGATGCATTCATTGCACGCTGAGAATGTGGGAGAATCAGCTTAAGGATTCAGGGCCCGTGTGAACTGCGCTTCATCAATAGAGTCTGTTATTGTTCTTGAATAGAAAAGAAGAGACGCCGTCCTTGCCTTCAACCCTGATAATCTCCCTCACTCCGTGGAAGAATCCTTTGTACTTCGGGTTCGCTGACGTCTGATCGTGGATGAATTTCACCTAAAAAGACACAACGATGGATATTAAATAAAATGAGTAAATCTTTAACGAGTGAGCCGGTGAGCGTAGGCGCACGCCGAGCGATGCTTATTCTCACCTTCACGGTCTCCATGGGACACACCACGAACACGGCCTCCGCCACGCCGGCGCCGAGGCCGCACAGGAAGCCTCGCTTGCTGTCCAGCTTCCCGTTTTCATCGCGCATCTTATTGCTGATGAACTCAAACACCCCGAATCTGTGGGCAGAGTAACGAGTTCAGCCACTCACGGTGCCTTATTTCATTCATCAGTGTGTCATCGTTTCAGCGATTGTCGAGTCAGGGGCTGAATCTGACTTTGACCACGTTTTACAAGGTGCTGCGTAAATAAACAAGCAGTTTTTTTCATAAAACAGTTGAGACTTGTGTCAACATTTGAAAGTTGAAATGGTGTCTGTGGCTGAAAGATTGGCGGAGCTGAAAAATCTGAAAGTTGAAGAAGTTTAAGAGGATTTGAACACGATCTCCATTAAAAACCATTAGAAGAAATATTCATGATTATTGATTTATATAAATTCAAGCTTAAGAGGTAGAAAGCTGAAAAGTCGTAGCACCCCTCCCGGGAAAGAGCTGAATATTTTAACATTTGAATGGTTTTAAAAGCTGAAAGTGTGAAGCAGTTGAAAGGTGACGTGGAAGAAATAGAATAATAAGTTGATTAAAGATTCGAACCCCCCCCTTCACTTCCCCACATCGATGGGACCGTGACGGAGGTTGAATCTGCGTGTGCGGGTACCTGACAGCGGCCTTCGGGATGGAGCCGTACACCAGAGAGCTCAGTCCTCTGTACAGACCTTTGACCCCGTGTCCGTCCACCGTCTGCTTCACGCAGTCCGCTGCAGGAGGGACAAGTGTTTCATTACTTCATACTCACAATCTGTGTGTTTATTGCGTCAGCTTCAGCTTGTATTCTTTCCTCCTTCCATGATTGAGAGGTGCACATTCGTGAGCAACAACCAGTCGCTGGTATTTTTATTCCAGATCTGAACAAACACGCTTTTCTGACTGTTCTGGTCTTCTGCTCCCAAAACAAAAACATGTTTCTGTGCCAAAGTTCACAAGCTGCTCGCCGCACTGATAACAAGCTGCGTGTGCGTGTGTGTGTGTGTGTGTGCGTGTGTGTGTGTGTCTGTGCTCTACACCAACACTCTGCCTCTACTGACCGTTGAAGGAAAGAATAAACTCGGATGAACTTATTCACGATTAAGATAGCCGGATTATTTATGACGTAAAAGAATGTGGGCGAATGGAAAGTGAGAGGGGATTAAAAACGATGAGAAAACTGAAACTAGAGGCAGAACCATGATGATTCTGGACGACATCAAACACAAATGATAAATGAATAATGCAGATTGTTCAGAAGCCAAAACAATATTAAACGTATTTGATTTGTTCATTTTTTGTCAGTTTGTAATGAGAATTAAAACAAAAACATTGTTTAACAATATCAGCAACTCGAACCCTTTAAACAGAGCCACGGTGCTTTTCACTGCTCGTGACCTTTAACCTTTTCATTTTTAAGAGGGAAAAGGTTGTTTTCCATTATTTTGCATTGAGAGTTGTATTATTATTATTATCATCTGACTACATATCAAATGCTGTATTGATCATTAGACTCTTTTCAGAAGAACTAGAGGACTCTCTAGAGGACAAACATTCACATTCGGGGGTCTCTTAATGCCTCTTTAAGAACAAACACGTGTTCCTCTCACCGATGCCTTTGTACTTGGGGGGGTTGGCCTTCTCGTCCAGCTGCAGCTGTGTCTTCACGTACTCGGTGGGGAAGGTGATGCAGATCTCGATGCCGCCCGCTATCCCGCCTGAAATAACGGTAAGAAAACACTCATTTGAAGGAGACGATGACGTTTTATTGGGTGGTTTTTCTCTCTCGACCAAACGCAAAAGCATTTCAGGGGGAAAGAAGCAGTACGAAGTATATACAGTTATTAATTGTTGAATGGTAGTTTTGGGGTCTTTATGATTGCAAATTCCTCGAATGTGTCCAAGTACTGTAATAGAACACACTCATGATCTTTATGCAGCACATTTAATCTACTTTTACACTCAAATACTTTGGAATAATAAAAGGACAAAGTACAATTTGTAACCATGAAAGGATTAAGTTTGTTTTCAACAGGTCATACAATCCAACTTGTCTGGTTACTTTATACAATAAAGGTACTGATAATAAAACTTAACTTTTACAAAAATGTGTTTCACAACAGAAAAACAGAAAAAAGTGCAAAAAAAAATTAAAAATAGCAGAAAGTGTTAGAGAGAACAAATAAATACTTTAATTCACAGTGGATAAATAACGATATTTTCTTTGTAAATAGTATATTTATATAAAAAACAAAGTTTAAAAAGTGTGACGTTTTCCTTTCAAACCGTATTCCTAATCATCCGTTCACATTATGGAGCAGTTCCACCTTAAGACCCCGGATGTCACACATCTGCCGTTCAACAGAAAACCCTCAGCCGGCAGCTGATTGGCTCATCCGGCCCCGTGGGGCTCCGCCCACGACCCCGCCCCCCTCCCGTGGCCCCCTCCTCACAGCCTGACTCCCTGATCATCACACATCTACAGAGGTTCGGACTCCTCTGAGGGAGAACCGGTCTGACGAGTTATTGTGAAGAAAAACACAGATTACTGTAGAAGAAGAAAAGTGACCCTGAAAAGGGAGGAATTAGTATAAAATATAGAAACTCAGATCAGCAGTTGGTCACATGATCGCTGTCTTCCTTCGGTTAGAGACAGAAGCTACAAACGAAGTACATGAATATAAAGAGTACCGGTTAGTACACAAATATGCGGTTAGTATAGTATTAGTATAGGTTAGTATAGTAGTGTCCGGTTAGTTCAGTAAAATGTAAAAAAGTACAATATGTACCACTGAGATATAGTGGAGTACAGTACTTATTCAAAGTACTTATTCCCCCGTCAGCAGTTAATGCGCGTTTTCTGTCCATGACCTTGTGACCTTTGCTTTGAGCTCAGAGGCCTCACGTCTCCATGACGATGACAAAGCACTTTATTCTCTGGTTCCAACAGGTTCTCGTGTTGTACTTTCTACTGTACTACAAATCACAGCTATATATTGTACTATTACAAATTAGAGGTACTTATTGCACTTTTTGACTGCACTTCACCTTAGAGGTACATATTGTACTTTTTACTGTACTTCATCTCAGAGAAACATATTTGAATTTGACTGTACTTCATCTCAGAGGTAAATATTTATCTTTATACTACATTTGTATGACAGCTTCACTTTTTTATTATCCAGATGAATCGATGTTGAACGTTTTTCAAACTTTTAAGGTTCAACCACCTCAGCTCCGCCAAGTCGCGGTGACGTCACGCCGATGTCGCAACGTCACGCAGGTATTTCTCTCAGAGCGCGTGTCACTGATTAACCAATGAGACCAGCAGAGGTTCACCACGTCACTCTGTGTTTCTCCTTCAGCCGTCAGCGGAGGAAGTTTAAACCCGATTAAACTGAACTCAACCGTATAAATATGCATTTAACGCAAACACACCTGCAGCCTCTGGAGCACATCTGCACGCACGCGCCTAAACTTTGTAAACAACTCCTTTGTCCGTGTGTGTGTGCGTGCGTGCGCGCGGTGACCAACGTATCCTCACCGGCCAGGATCGCCTTCCCCGGGTGCGTGAACTGGACTTTCCCCGCCGGGGCCGCGGCCGCCAGACATCCGGGTCTCTGGAACGGGCTCTCGAACCTCGGCCGTCCGGACATGACTGCGACACAACACCGGCTCAACTTGGCTCCCTTCTTCTCTTCGGCAGTCTGCTTTGCTCGCGTCAGCGGGCGTCGGGAGCCCGGGTGCAGAGTGGCGGCGCCGCGTGCAGCACAACCGATGCCGAGGACATCGACCGTTGGACTTTGAGAGGGGGCGCAGACCCGGAGGCGATAACGACTGTGCACGTTTCACGGTACCCAGGAGGCAAAAAAAAAAAAAAAGAGCCCCCCTCCGTGGCGCTCAGAGGCCGATTGCATCGAGTCTGTGTTAACGCAAGGCGGGGCACCACACGACCCCCCCCCCACCAACACGGAAAGAAAACGCCATGTTTGTCACCAACAGTTAAGGAGGACCGGAGCGATTCAGAAATACGTTGAATACCACGGGTCGCCTACAGAGGGGGCTGTTTCACACCTAACAGAGACGATTAAAATACGCGTATATAAATATGTATATATACTTTAAAGTATACATTAATATTTATATAAGCATATTTTAATGTTGTACTATATAAATATGGATATATATAGTGTGTGAAACAATATTCATCCTAATATATAGGATATGTGCATCCTATACATTACATTAATACATAACAATATCTCTCTACCCTTGATACACTTTTATTTATTAATTCCTGTCCCTATTCAATTAAACGTATCTAAACAGTGTGGCTCTGCCCGGTTTAGGTAGTAGGATTACCATCTTGCCTTCATATCGACTCTTCGTTCGTCCCTGTCACTGCTACTGCGCATGCTCCGTGTGTCTCCTTCATTGTGCCCTATAGACATTACTAAAGTAAGCTAGCTGTCACTCCACGCAGCAGCATCACGCCAGGGACAGTCCAGCCGCTGCAGATCCCCCGTCCAGACACCTTACCACCGGTAAGGAGACAACACAGATACACAAATCAGTCCTAAATACAGCGTTTTAGCTTTATAATACGTGCATAACGACGTGCGTTTTCTGACCGGCTTTGATAACGGTTTCTCCCCAAGGTTAGCCTAGCATCGCGGGCTATCCGGCTAACGGTATCCCTGTTATGCAACGGTCACAGTAGCCATGTAGTGCACACTTCAAGCCGTGGTGGGTGGGTTTTTGTCTGTTTAATAATGCAGAGTTTCAGGTTATTCACGCTTTTATACACTTTATTAGCTCGTCGTGCAAGAAGGTGTGCGCGTGCTAGCATGAATACATGAGCAGTAACTAACCAGCTATAACAGTTAGTCAGTGTCCATCTGCCGTGTCCTTTTTATTGCTAGTTAGCTTACTTAGCTTGTTACAGGAGCTCAAACAGCAGCTAGCTAGCTTGCTTGCAGTCCTCCCCCCCTCCTCCCCGAACACACCTCTTCTCCCCGACCCATCTGCTGTCCTTTGTCCTCTAATAAGAGATGCAGCGCGCATCCGTTTGTTAATGCCGGACAATGCACCTTTTTTCACGTTGGGGTGATTGTAGGTGAATGAAATGATGGGTTCATTAAACTATGCGTTCACACTGAGGACACACCTCCACCCGCAGCATCCCGGGACGGAGGCCCCTTTCCCCTCAATACAACCTTGAGAGACGTTTGTCACGATGCTGGATCGTCTTCTCGCTTCGCCACGTCAAGTGTTTCCCTGCACGTTTGTGTTGAGTGTGTTTTTTCCTGATCCCTGGATCTCAGCATCCCAGCTGCCTGCAAAGGAGCAGCTTGTTCCCGTCCCGCTGCAGCTCACCTGCAAACCCGCTGATGGCTATAATACATACTGCAGTATTTGTACATTCGTGTTTCTCTGAGGCGCTGTTCTATGATGGTGAACAGATTGGGTTCATCTTTACCGTCAGTGCACAAAGTTCCAGCATTGAGAAAAAAAATGCAATTAAATATCAAACCAGACGTGCAAAATAAATTATGATAGAATTTTTTTTATCCTTAAGGAAATCATTTTGCAGCAACAAATATACAATAAATAAATATGAACAACAGGATAACAATTAGGAAGTGTTAAAGTAGCAATACTGACAGCTTGACAGCAATACGACTTATACTACAAAATGTACATACAGATCGTTGGTATCGATCACATTAATCTCACACAAGAAGAAGAGACGTATTGCAGCAGATTTAGCTCCGCGCTTACATCCCATAAGTACGGAATCATCACCACCGGCTTCCTGATTTGCCTGTTGGCCTTTTTTTAACTGATCCCATTACTGACTGTCTCTCCTCCTGCAGCACGATGGCCGTCCCTCCGTCATACTCGGACCTGGGAAAGTCCGCCAAGGACATATTCAGCAAAGGCTACGGTGAGTGAGCAGAATAAAGCCGACTAGACCACCAGAGATTAAATGAAGAGTCCGGCCTTAAAGTCGCTGTACGGTGTTTGAGAGAGGAAACAACTAAAGACCTTTATTGGAAAATAAATAGTGTTATTGTTAATGGGGAAATTATTATTAAACCAGCAAACGTTAGCTTAGCATAAAGACTGGATAGAGGGGGAAAGTACAAGCCTGGCTCTCTCCAAGGATTACAAGAGTAATCATCACTCCACGCTCTCGTAACGCCTGGTTATTAACATGTTACAGCTCGCGGGTTTAATCTGTGGTAAAAAGATCACAGGGTTTCATGTGCATTATGCTAACCTACAATAGCTGTCACGGAGTGTTATGTGCCCTATGCTAAGCTAACATAGACGTCACAGGGTGTCACGTGCCTTATGCTAAGCTAACATAGCTGTCACAGGGTTTCATGTGCATTATGCTAAGCTAACACAGCTGTCACTGGGTTTCATGTGCATTATACTAAGCTAACATAGCTGTCACTGGGTTTCATGTGCATTATGCTAAGCTAAACTAGCTGTCACGGGGTTGTATGTGCATTATGCTAATCTAACATAGCTGTCACGGGGTTTTATGTGCATTATGCTAACCTAACATAGCTGTCACTGGGTTTTATGTGCATTATGCTAACCTAATATAGCTGTAACGGAGTGTTATGTGCCCTATGCTAAGCTAACATAGACGTCACAGGGTGTCACGTGCCTTATGCTAAGCTAACATAGCTGTCTCCCCGCTCCAGAGAATTTTATGACCGTGTCTCTCTGAATTCAGGCTTTGGAGTTGTGAAGCTGGACCTGAAGACCAAATCACAAAGTGGAGTGGTGAGGACACTTTTAATCCCCCCCCCCCATTACAGCCTCCGTGAGTCACCCGTCTCCAGGTGTCCCGACTCAGATCTGCTGTCTGAACTTGTTCCTGGTCCTAAAACAAGAGGACGACACCTCCCCTCGCTTGTCTTAGTGTCCTCTCTGTTGTTTCTGCTAACCGCTGCTTTGTCTCCACGCTGCTGTCCCCCCTCCCTCCTTCCCCCCTTCGGACTGCTCTGGCCTAGATGGTAAGATGGGAGTCAGCTGTTTATTCCTCACAGTCATCACCGGCATGCTGTCGTCTCTGTTCTCATCTGTGTTTGTTATGATCGTTCATGAATTCATTTGTGGAACTTTTTATTTGCTTTTCACGTTCGTAGTTCAGACCAAGAGGCTTGGATTCAAACTTCTGTCACTGAATTATTAAATATTGTATTTTGGACGATACAATATTTTCTGATTTCACAAAGTTTGGCTCGATTTATATTAATATAAATTTAGGGTCCTCAAATCGATTTGAGACATTGTTATAAGCTCATTTGATTGAATTAGTTACATACAATTAACCTGTTGATCCAAAGGGTACAACGTGTACCTCTTTTAGACATAAACACACTAAACTGCTGCATCGCCGGTCCAAACGCGAGAGTTTTTCCTTGTGTGCCACCACGAGGTCGAGCAAGTATCTCCCCAATGAATTAAGGAGAAATGATTTAGCTTTTGTATTTATAGGTAATATCAGAGTAAATCATGTGAAAATGCACAATATATACAAAGAAAATAGACTTAAATTAACTTAACTCAACAATAGCGAAAATATTTAACCAACCAAACAGTGAATTTAGTGAGTTTGATTTAAATTGAGTGAGTTTAATTCTACATTATTTTTAAGCCGTGCACTTTAAGGCCGTGCCTTACTTGTATCATAATTTACATTACAAATCCATATTCATCATACTCATTGTTGGGTTCTTCTCTCCATCATTTGTTTCTGGTCTCCAGCATGAACTCTGACATCATTTTAGTTCTGTACAGTTTCAACTTTTTGTTTCAGTTTTGTACAATTTTTTTCAAGATGCTCATATTGAGGTTTTATTCTGAAATAAAATCCCCAATTTAAATAGTGATTCTTTGTGTTAAATTAGTTAAACTGTTTGAACAAGTCATTTTATTACAAAAATACGCGTTTGAAAGGCTAGACGGCAACAGGCACGGATTAAATGTGAGTTTTCCACCAGACTGAAACACGCTGTGAATCTCCACAGGAGTTCAACACGTCCGGCTCCAGCAACACGGACACGGGCAAAGCCGCCGGCAGCCTGGAGACCAAATACAAGATGAAGGAGCTCGGCCTGAGCTTCAACCAGAAGTGGAACACGGACAACACGCTGGCCACCGAGGTCACCGTGGAGGACCAGGTCCGTGCACGCGCACACCCCGACACACTGTCTGCATCGCTTTATTATGGAGCTTTAACACGTTTCTTTCCCTGCAGCTGACTCAAGGACTGAAGGTCGCCCTGGATACGTCTTTCGTACCAAACACAGGGTGAGACCACGAGACCAGAATAAACTACAGCCGGGGATCAGGTCCCCTCAGGACTTCACGACCTTTGACCCGTGCAAATCCGTTTCTTCTAGGAAGAAGAGCGGAAAGCTGAAGACGGCGTACAAGCGCGACTTCGTGAACCTGGGCTGTGACGTGGACTTCGAGGGTCCCATCATCCACGCCGCCGCCGTGCTGGGCTACGAGGGCTGGCTGGCCGGCTACCAGATGGCCTTCGACACGGCCAAGTCCAAGCTGGCCCAGAACAACTTCGCCCTGGGATACCGGGCCGGCGACTTCCAGCTGCACACCAACGTGTGAGTGCTCCGGTCTTAACGCTGCGCAGCGATTACACTCCGAGGCGAATACCTCCGGTCGTCCGTTGAAGGGCAGAACCTCACGTGTTGAAGCTGCATTCTCTGAGGTGTCCACCAGGGTGCGACTCCTCTGGTCCCACAGAAGTCTATGAGAGAATGACTTCAATGCGTCGTCGGGGGAGTAAACCCGTGAATTGTTTTCCCTCCCCCAGTAACGACGGCACCGAGTTCGGCGGCTCCATCTACCAGAAGGTGAACGAGGAGCTGGAGACGGCGGTCACTCTGGCCTGGACCGCCGGCAGCAACAACACCCGCTTCGGCATCGCCGCCAAGTACCACCTGGACAAGGACACCTCTCTCTCTGTGAGTGCTGCCGAACCTTCTCGCTGATCTATTCTGACATTTGGTTTCATGTCTCATTGCGTCTTCGCCCCCCTCTTCTGACCCCCCCCGCAGGCCAAAGTCAACAACGCCAGTCTGATCGGCGTTGGTTACACTCAGAGCCTCCGGCCAGGTAGGCGGCATCCTGCTGAAGCAGTTTCTTTTTGATTTATTTAATGAAATGTATCTGTTATGGCACGAATCATAAAACAGAAAGAAATTCAAGTTGAATTTCCATGATACACGTAAAAAAATGAACAATAGCTGCAACAATATGAGCTATAAATACAGCACGTGCCTACTATTGTTATCTGTACGTTACTATAAATAATAAACTATACACATATTTACACCCTCTGCTCTGAAGGTCTCTTCTCTTATTTATTGTCACATTGTGACTGTTGATCTGAAGTTACTGAGGAGCTCAGAATTTAATTTTTTATTACAGAATCCGTCTTTTAGAAGACTGTTGTGACGGGAATTTTAAACGTAGTTGTCAAATGAAATGTTTTTGATGGTAAAAATCCCAATTTTAAGCTCCGTTCCTGCCACGTGATGTGTTCAAGGACCATCAGAAAGATGAAAATCTGTTTATAAAGAGGCCTGGATTAACATTGAGTTCTGAGGGTACAAAGAGACCTGAGATAACAATAAGAAAACGTAAATATTCCCTCACTACGTCTGCAGGGATCGGTCATCAGGTTAATCAAGTTACATTTTTCATTTGACGAGTCATAGTGAGAAATTCTTGTCCGGCCGGTTTGCATTAAAATCTGTCAACGTCTGCGTGTCTGAACGTGTTTTAACCCGCAGACTGGAAAATATAGATTTTAAAAAACGTAGCAGTTTAAAACTAGACGGACTTTGTTTTTGAGGAGAATGTACATTGAAATACGATTCTGAAGAGACACTCCTGTTGTCTGCAGGTCTTATATTTGCTTTTATATTTGAACAAATATTAATCTGCATTCTGTTGGTTATTGAAAAGGTCTCACGTGGAAGTGTTCTGCGCCCCTTTAGGTGTGAAGGTCACCCTCTCGGCTCTGATCGACGGGAAGAACTTCAACGCCGGGGGTCACAAGGTCGGGATGGGCTTTGAGCTGGAGGCATAACGTGGAAATGGAGGAAAGAAAAAAGGCCCTGGACCACATCCCCCCCCCCCTCCCCCCCATCACAACCACAGTCCACACCGTCATGTAGCTTCACAGATTTCACAATCTTGGAAGTGACGCTATTTATTTTATTAAGGTCTTCGGGAGAGGCCCTCGTTGGGTGGTTAGCTTGTTTTTCACACCTTTTCCTTTGTAAAAAAAAAAAGCATGCGAAGATGAAAGCGCGGAGCCGAGAGGCTCATCTGCTCAGTGAGAAACTGTTTTGTGTGGAGCACTGATTAAAAATCTGTAGAAATGTTTCTATATGGAGGCGTCTCTAGGTCGACAGGTCAGAAGGATCATTTCAAAAACGGCTTTACGGGAACAGAGGAACGTTCCGTCCAGATGGTCAAAAGCGATCCCTTTGATCCCCTGGAGCGATCCCTTTGATCACATGGAGCGATCCCTTTGATCCCCTGGAGCGATCCCTTTGATCCCGCGGTTGTTCCGGTAGGTGGAGGCGATGTCGTGGAATCTTCTTGCGTAGTTAGTTTGCATTTCCCCGACATCGTTTCCGTCTATCTGTCTCTTGCGTCTGCTTCCTCCCGTTGCCCGGGGAAACGCTCCCGTTGTTGCCGTGGCTGCGCTCTCACACGACCTACACTCCTCACATAGTGGACTGACCTCCGAGTGACCTCCATCAAAACGCCGGCATGGGGTCGGGTCTCGCAAGTGACTCCTATTTGTTTCTTTCATGAGTTTTCTTTTTTCTTCTCTAATTGTGTCATTATGATTATAGGACTCTTTGTCACACAATACCTCATTTTTTTCCAATGTCAGTTAAGGGAATTCAAACAATAAATGAAAAATAACATCTCATACAAGTTGTCCTAATTATTTTCCTTGTGTTGACTTCAACGCTAAGTTACTTTTTCAAAGAAAGTCAATAGGTTTCAACAATTAACTAATTTATTGGATTGAATGAGTTTTATTTTTTTAAATCTGAAAGGCTTTACACCAACAAATTCAAGCAGGATATTCACATTTTGGATCATCTTTTAGCTTTTAACATGCTACAGAACTCACGCCTGTACGCTGAATATTAACCCACAGCTGGTTAGCTTAGCTTAGCATAAGGACTGCAAGTAGGTATTAAAAGCTAGCCTTTTCTCTTTATAAAGTTACAAAACAAAACCAGAACTTCTTTTGGAACGTTAACTGATGAGTGAAAATTCCACATGTTTTCAGCATTTATGCTAAGCTAAGCTAACCGGCAACACGCTTGAGCTTATATTTACCATACAGACATTCTCACTAAATAAGCGCATCGCCCAACATAAACCTTTCCTTCGGGATTCATTAGTTTTGTTAAATGAAAACGTGCCACGTTATGCTTCCATAGGAAAAATGTGGAAGCCGTGTTTAAACACGTGTCTTTAATTCCGCTCAATACACTTTTAGGTTTGTATGAGAAATATTTAGATACCTGAACACAAGACGTTAGCATAGACTTGACTCAGTAAATCTCATCAGCTCAGTAAAATATAATGTGTATTATATCTATGCAGAACTATTCAATAAATACAATAATATTACCAGTAAATCCACATTGTAGATTCCTTAGAAATACCAAAAAAAAAACTAGGTATAAGTAATGCATAAAAAAATACCTGAAGTTATTACATTAATGACTATAGGATTCTCAAGTAGGGGAAAATGCGATGCATGCGAACATGCTGAAAATATCAATGATGACGTGCTGACGTCTTATTTCAATGTTTAACATCTGCATTTATCCTCTGAGGACCTTGAATATTTATACTAGATTTTATAGAAATCCCCAAAGCTTTTAAAAATAGATACGTCACTAAAAGCCACAAATGTTATCCTCACGGTGGCGCCGGATTAAAAGTAAAACGATCATCAAGGTCATTAAAGTCATCCTCTGGCGACCATGAATGTCAGTACAACCTTTAACGGCCATTCATTCATTAGACGCTGAAATTATTAACTCAAAGACCAAAACTTGTTTGTAGGACAAAATGAAAAATCACGGGATTGATCAAATCCAAAGGGTTCAACCTCTGAGGACATTTTATTACTTGTGCACTGCTGTCTTCTTGTCTATTGTTACACTGTCTGCTGTCACGCACCAACCGCCACGACAAATTCCCTGTATGTCTGACATATTTTGGCAATAAATGTTTCCCGTTTCCTGATTCTTATACCAAATCCTTCTTGCCGCTGTGGTATTTCACTTAGTCACAAATGTCAACCTCGATTCAAATTCACCACCGCAAAGATCATTAGGAGTCATCGTCTGGGGAGCACGAATGTCCGTACAAACAATCACGCCAACCCATCCAACAACAGGCAACGTACCTCAGTCACTGATGTTTTAAAACTAAATCTCGTGGTCTTCTGCTGGAAGCAGAAATCTTAAAAGAAAAGAAAAAACCGTACAATTAAACCAAAACCACCTGCAGGAAACGGGTTTGTTTTCTTGTCATGATCTGGTGGAACTGTCCCTTCGGGGTCTGTTTGTGGGCGTCGGTCAAACCACAGGTTCCACGCCACGTGTCCCACAACATCCTGTTCGCCCTCCTCCATCCTCCTGCTCTTCGAGGCCGCGGCGCCGCTGGAGTCGCATGAAGTTTCTTTCTGGATTCAAAGAACGTGAAACATCGTCTCTCACAGCAGGTTGACCTTCGCCACCACCTGCTTGCAGCCCGTCTTGGAGTACGCGTGACCCCCGACCTCGGGGTAGTATTCGATCTCCCCCGCGAGGCGCTCGATGTTGGCATGGTCCGGGTAGAACCCCTCCCGGGTCATTTCCTCCAGGAAGCACTCCATCACGTGGCTCTTCTCCAGGAGGCCCAGGGGCAGGAGCTCCGCCTCCGCCCACAGTGGGTGCAGCTCCCCCAGGGAGTCGCGCAGCGCCGGCGTCAGCTCCCTCGCCAGGCTGCCCTGGCGGCCGGCGGCCGCGCCGGAGGAGTTGTGCAGCACGTGCCTGGTGACGTGCCGGTGGCCCCAGGTTGCTCAGCAGCAGGTAGACGGCGTTCAGGTGCTCGTTGGACCGCTCGGCGGCCACCAGCCGCAGCAGCGCGTCCAGGATCTCGCCGTGCATGTGCTCGGCCTCGTCAAAGACGAAGAGCGGAATCTTCTCCTCCTCCTCGGCCCGCCCCACCGTCTCCGAGACGAGCGCCGACAGGTCGCGGGCGCAGCGCAGGGCGTCGGCCTCCTGGGGGCAGTGGTGCAGGACGTAGTACTGCAGCACCAGCGTCTCCCCGACCACGGAGCGGAAGTGACCCGCCAGGAGGCGGCCCAGGTGGCTCTTGCCCACGCCGCTGGGCCCGTGCAGGGACACCACCAGGGGCTTGTTGTGGACGTAGGTGGACAGGTAGTCCTTCAGATGGAACAGCAGCCCGTCCACCGCCCCCTGCTGGCCAAACACCTCCCTCCTCAGCGTCTTCTCCAGCCCCTCCAGGTCGTAGCGGAGCACGTGGTCGTCAAGGTTCTCTATGGCGTTGTACACCTGCAGGGACGCGGAGGTTAATAAATCATAACCTGACGAATCATCAAACTGAAACTAGAAAGTCGTGCGGTTAAACGTGAAGACCTGTTAGCTTAGCTTAGCATAAAGACCAGAAGCAGTCTGTGGTCACGCTTCAAAAAAACGCAGCATCACGTGGATTCTCTTGATGACCGAGCGGGTAAATTAAAGTGGGGTCATTGTCTGTCTCGCCCCCTGCTGGTCAGCGGACAGAATGCAGCCGTTAAGACGCCCCAGAGTCACATGACGTCATAATCCCTGGAACCCATTGTGAGGTGTTACCGCGTCCCGGCTCCGGTTACCTGGAGGAAGACGATGGCGCAGAGCAGGTAGAGGCAGTACTTGGCTCGGCTCTGCTCCTGCTTCGGGGGGGCTCGCCGCCCCCCCCTGTTGGGATACAGCACCCTTTTCCTCCTCTTCTTCTTCTTCTTCTGCGGGAGGTTGGAGAACGGCGGCAGTCCGTCGAAGGTGAAGATCCTGGGGCTGGTCTTCCCCGGCGCCCCCAGGGGGGCCCCCTCCGGCCCGGGGCCCAGCAGGGCCTCCTGGCGCCTCTTCTTCATGGCCAGGTACTTCTGCTTGATGCGCACGACGGCACGCAGGGACGAGGAGAAGCTGGACACGCTGGTGGCGGGGCTCTGCCGCCCCGCCACTTCTCCCTCGCCGCCGCCGCCGCCGTCGGCCTCGCGCCCCCCCTCCCCCTCCGTCAGGGAGGCCGAGGTGCTGCTATCGCCGTCGCTCATCTGCAGAGAGGAAGCACAATGATCACATGACCCTCGACTACTTCCTGTCGTTGCTAAACTAATCCAACTACTGAATGATGTGAATGCATCTTTAGTAATAATATATATATATATATATATATATTTATATAATGTTATTTATTACCCACACAGAAGCAGACAGAATTCTCTGAGCAGTAAACATCAAACCGACCCTCTAATACAACATGAGGTTTATTCTCATAACCTCAGGCGACGTTACTTCCTCTTAGAGGAAGTTACTTCACGCTGTGGCGGCTGCATCTTGTGAGGAAGAAGAGGCTTTTTTTAGATGTTGGACTGATTGGAGTCGCTTCCTTCACGGTAACATCGTTTGAGCAGAATTCATATCGTGAATCGGCCGGTTTGTTGAGCAGCAACGCGCCTCCATCACATTCAAATCAGGGAGGGATACTTTGGAACAGAGGAGGAAGCTCATCCAGCGACATGCGCGGGGCCGCGCGTCAACGCGCACGAGTGTGCGTGTCAGCGCGAGCTCTCTGGAAGCTTCTGCAGCTTTTGGACGTTTTTTTCTTCAGAGGAATTATTCGGAGTTTCAGGGAGACAGATGCGAAACACTGAGACGCGCCTCTGTGACTGAGAGACAATGAGGAACTTCAAACCCCGGGGGGGGGGGGGGGGGGGAGAGAGAAAGGGCTCGAGGGGGGAAAGCGATCAAAATAGAGGGACCGTGAAAAGGGGGAAGAGGGGCGGGGGGGTTCAAGGCTTAGACCCAAACATGAAACAGTGGTTCAGGAAATCCCAGGGGGGGGGATTACTAGATTATACCTGCAGCACTCTGTGGGGCGCGCGCATTAAAGACGCAGACGATGTGCATCGTGCGCGTGAGAGTGATCGGAACACACAGGGGGGTAAATGGGTTACAGGGTAGAAGGGGGGGGGGGGGGGGAAACGGGGTACGGGGTAGAATTCTGCCGCATTTCCAACGTTGTAGAAGATGTTTGCTGTGGAAAGAAGGAAGCGACAAATAACACAAGTACCTCTGCGGGGAAACTTCTCGCGCGGCGCCTCAGTTTTCTTCTCCCACGGAAGCAGCCTGGAACACGAGGAGAAGAGTCGGCAGCGCGGGGGGGGGAACACACATGACTGTGGACACCCTTCTCTTACCCCCCCCGGGGTTCTGATGGTGTCTTTTCGTTCCTCGGTGAGAGAAGTGACGGAACACAGAAGGAGTCCTCCCCTCTTCCCTCTTCCCTCCTCCCCCCTCCCGGCTCTTCCTCCGCCCCCCCCCCCCCCCCCCCTCTCTCTAACCCTCCACACCTCCTTCTGCTTTTCACCGCTTTTTAATCTTTGCAGATCAATAAATATATGAATAAATATTATTCCAACACATGAATTCATAAGTATGAAAAACAGGTTTCTTAATAACTGGAATGTTTCCTGTTTGTGTCAACTGGATGTTTAGAAATGAAACGGCGTCACTCTGCAGAGGATGTAGATGTTACTTATTCATTTATTTATTTAGACTTATTAATCATTATTATTAATGAAAGAAGCTCGCGCGCCTCTTTGACTCCAGCGGGAATAAACAACATATTTGAGTATTTTATTTCATTGCACATTTATCTGACAGCTCGAGTCTCTCAAACATAAAATATCGATAAATCATTATAATATTATCATCATAGTTTCGTCCGACAGACTTATTGATCGGTTTGGAGATTTTGGTCCATTTGGCTTCAAACATTCGGTCACAAGAAAACGTCCAAACACTCGTTGAGCTGAAGCTGCTTTAAGTCCTTCAGGGACACTCAGAGATCCACCAGTGAACATCTCCATGAACCTTTGGCTTTATAGTCGTTGTTCAAGTAAAAGAAAGCAAAACATTTGTTTTAATTTGTAATTCAGATCAAACAGGAGAAATATATTTTGTACATATAATGTGACTTTGAAGAAAAAGTCAGGGACCAGCTGTTTGTGTTTGCCACATGAATAGAAATGCAAAGAGGAGCCAGAATGTTTGCATACTGCAGCCTCCGCCCACCCCCCCAACCACAAGAACACCACCACCTCCACCCGAGCAGGCTGCAGGGCGGAGCACGAACCGACCCCCTGACCTCGCCCGGGTAGAGACACGTGGAGCGGAAGCTGTTAGCGTTGGGCGGAGGAGGAGGAGGACGAAGGAGGAGGAGGAGGAGGAGTCAGCCTCGGGGCAGATGTGGCTCTCTGCTGCTCCTGCAGCAGCACCAACGAAGAAGAAGTGCGCCGTTTAACATGTTTTATTAGATGTTTTTTAGAGTGAGACATTGAAAGAGTTTTCTGTCACAACGACTTATTAAAGAAAACGAAAAGCCAGAACAATGTGGACTGAAAATGTGTCTTCGAGTCCAGATGTTCTCACACACACACACACACACACACACACACACACAGTTTGTCCATTTTTACATGATGAGAAACACTAACAGGAAGTTAAACTGAACAAATCAACATCGTTTTTCCTTTTTTTAAGGATTTGTGACGACCAGACGTTCCTCCAGCATCATCCACCTTTCTCCAGGTGGAGGCTACGTCAGGTGGAGATTGTGCAGATAAATTTTTCCAGAGTTTTTTTCCCCCTCAGAACACTTGAAGAGCGCAGACAGTTTCTCTCCGTTCCCCCGCCCACAGGAGGCGTTACTTCCTCTTCCTTCCGCGGCCTCTCCTTCCCCTGCCGGAGGTGGGAGGCGGAGCCTCCGCCGGCGGCGTCCCGACGGGGCCGGCCCCGATGTTGAATCTGTCCCTCCTGGATCTCGCTGCGGGCCTCCGGGGGAAGGTGCTCGATCTGCTCGCTGCGCCTCCAGGTAGAACATGACGTCCCTCAGCTGCTCCTGCAGCTCCGCGATGGCCCCGTCCTTGTGCTCCCCTGCAGGAGCCCGGCAGACACCCACGAAGAAGAAGAAGAAGCAGCAGTTAGACACCACGAGGAACATCTATCAGTAAAGACTCTTTAACGCAGTCTCTTAAAGGGACAGTACACCAGGGAATCAAAAAAAGGTCCAATCGAGTCCCTGATGGCGCTACGTTGTGAGCTAGTTAGCGTCAGCAGGACGGTGACGCGTTGAGGCTCATTTCAGTACAAATAAGCATCGGGATCAAACCTTTTATTGACATGTAGTCCCATTTTAGTGGGGTGTTACTTTTTCTATTTTATTTAGCTCGCTCTCACTGCTTTTCTGTTCTACAACTTATTATTATTGCTTCTTGTTTTTTTCTTTTTTCTCCATGACATTTGTCGACACAACATATTTACAGACTGAAAATAAAAAAGACCATATATTAGATTTTTTTCAAAAAGAATATTTGACACAAATTATTTTAAATATATCATCTAATATCTTTTTAATTTTCTTTTACCCTTTCAAAAAACAAAAAAATATTTTAGCCAATCCGTTTTTGAATTTATTTTCAAAAACTATTTCTACACTTTTTTTTCATATATTTCATATTTTCGCTTCTTTCGAAACATTTTTCAATTTAAGATTTTTACATTAAATATTTAGTTTTTTTCAACCCCAAAAAAATCTTTTGACTCTTAGGGAATAAAACAAACAAACAAACAAAAAAAAAAAAATATATATATATATATATATATATATATATATATATATATATATGTTTTTTTTTTAATTTTTTGACCAAAAATATTTTACTTTTTTTCGACCATACATATCTTGTTATGTAAATATCGACCGGATAATAAATCTCGCCCTTTCTCCAGTTAACAGAAAAGTAAAGCTGCTGTTAATCAGAAGCTAAATCGCAAAGTCTCACATAGAAAAAGCACCACAAAGAGCCTGGATTTACTCAAGTGTTGATTCAGCTTGAGTCAAACTCCAGCGGTGTAACCATAGCAACCATCCACTAACCTCCAGCCACTCAAAGACGGGATTAGAGAAGTAAAGCAAATATAAACACACACACACACACACACAGTTCTGAGGAAAAACAAGTTTAGAACAAGTGACTCGTCACCGACTGTGTGCGTGCCGTCGTCCACATAAACAGAGAGCACCTGTGATGGGGTGCGTTTGTTTTAACCGCCCTCATCCCCGGGGGCGAAAAGGCTGAAGGAAAAAAACAGGTAGGTCTGAACCCCCCCCGGTGACCTTTGACCCTTCCTCAGGCGAGTGAGTCTGTGCAGAATGTTAATAATCTTCAGACAGCAGAGCACAGTGAGGAAGTGATCGCCGTGGAAACAGAAGAGTTTCGGGTTTCTCTTCACCTCCGCTGACCTCTGATGAATGATTAATGTAAAAGGGTTTGTAGTTGTAGTCCCCCCCCCCCCCACTCACCGGTCTCCTTCACTTTGCGTTCCTCCTCCACCAGCTGGGACTGCAGCTGCGTCTGATTGGCCCTCAGGCATCGGTTCATCTCCTGCTCCTCCTTCAGCTCCTGGCTCAGCTTCACCACGCGAGTGTGTAGCTGAGTGCACCTGAGCACCAAACACACAGGTGAGGAGGAGGAGGAGGAGAGCGGTGACACAGCGGATTGATGACATTAATGAAACGTGGCCTCTTCCTGTTCTAAAGAGTCATTTCTGCTCCATAAATAAATACTGGCACGGGGTCAGTTGCATCACTCTGATCCCACTTGATTACCCATGATGCATTGCACCAACTAATGGAAACAAATGTCTAATTCTTGGCGATAACTTGAAGAACGTGTTTGCGTCTGAATGAGAATATTGTGTAAACAGGAACATATTGCACTTTATTTGACTTCCCTCCGATTGATCTTTTAGCGACGAGTCCGTCGAGCAGGTTTCAGAGGTGAATTTTATGAGAGAATAAAGAGTAATATTGATCGGATGTGATGAGAAAGGAAAGTCGACCTTCACTCACTTCTTCTCGATGCCCTGCTTCTCTTTGCTGATTTCTCCAAAGCGTCGCTCCAGGTTGTCGCAGCGCTCCAACGTCTCCTTGAATTTAACCTTCATGTTGTTGATCTGAACGAGAAGTGAGATGAGGAGGAGGAGGAGATGAAGACGGGATAAAGAAGAAGTAAAAAACACGAGATGACCCCCCCCTTCGTACCTCCTCAGTCGTTTCCTTCTCCAGGTGAACGATCTTGTTCTCCCAGTAGATCCTCTGAGACTCCAGTTGACTGGTCAGCAGGTACGAGTACTACACACACACACACACACACACACACACACACACGCACACGTTCAGGCCTTCGTGCCTCGTTTCGTGGAAGCGACCTCGAGGGGGACGCGGCGCTCACCTCCAGCTGCAGCGCGTCGATCTTCTCGGCGTGGCAGGTGTCTCCTTCACACTCGTACTGCACCATCTTCCCGTCCGTCTTGCTGGCCACCAGCCGATGGACGTAGTTATCTGTGGACCACGAGGTCACAGGAACGTTTAAGTGAACGCTACGTTTAGAGGATTTAACCGCTTAACTTTGACCTTTGACCTCCTCAAATACACAAACGGGGAATTTAGCTCTCACAAAACAAGCTGTTATTTTACTTTGAAGTTAATAAAAAATGTGAATGATCTAATACTTGAAACTACCCAGCAGTATATAAAGTTCAAGTTTATGAAGTGGGCCATTAATCCATCAATGGTAATAATCCAGTAATAACTACATAGGAATCTGAAATGGACCATTCTGCATATTGACTACAATGTGAACTTTTAGGTCACCTGCTGCCCTCTAGTGGACAGAATTACACCTTTGATTTAGCCCTAAATTCTCCATCCAAGAGCTCTAATGGATGAGCGAGTTCAGTGCCCGGGCCCATGAGCAAGGAGCCGGTACCTCCGGCGTAGTCCCACACCCGGTGGTTGGTGAGCTGCATGGCGTACGTGTGCTGCGTCTCCTCAAAGTGCTTGTAGGCGTGACGGCTGACGTAGCGGCCGCAGCCGATGTGTCCGCAGATGAGACAGATCCACAGGTTCTACGAGGGGGGCAGCAGGGGGGGGCAAGAGGGGGCAGGGGGGGTTAAAATATATCAATTGAAAATAAAGAGAGTGCATTAAAAAGGAGATCGGGTACCTCCTGCACGCCGCACTCAAAGCACTTGTTCTCCTCCACTGGTTCTGGAGTTTGACAGTATCGACACACAGGACACCTGCAAACACACACACAAGAATACAAGGTCACATGACATCTCTGGTTAAATATGAGCTGGGTGCGTGTGTGTGTGTGTGTGTGTGTGTGTCCACACAGGACTCACGTGGCGTCGTCCCACCGCTGGAGGCACTGGCTGTGGAAGCTGTGGTTGCAGAGGGTGGTCAGGATGCCGTTGACCGACTCGTCCATCCTCTCCAGACACACGGTGCACTTCGGCAGCTCGGTGAGCTCCATCACCGGCAGACTGGCTCTCTGGGAGTGTGTGTGTGTGGTGCAGGGGGGGGGGGGGCATAAGAGGAAGACGTGAAACCTAGAGATTAAAGACCCATAAACTCATGTTTACAAAGTTTACTGTGAGAAGTAGAGTCATTTCCTCATAGACGTCTATGGGAGCAGAGGAGTCGCCCCCCTGCTGGTCACTACAGAGAAGTAGAGTCATTTCCTCATAGACGTCTATGGGAGCAGAGGAGTCGCCCCCTGCTGGTCACTACAGAGAAGTAGAGTCATTTCCTCATAGACGTCTATGGGAGCAGAGGAGTCGCCCCCTGCTGGTCACTAGAGAAGTAGAGTCATTTCCTCATAGAGGTCTATGGGAGCAGAGGAGTCGCCCCCTGCTGGTCACTACAGAGAAGTAGAGTCATTTCCTCATAGACGTCTATGGGAGCAGAGGAGTCGCCCCCTGCTGGTCACTGCAGAGAAGTAGAGTCATTTCCTCATAGACGTCTATGGGAGCAGAGGAGTCGCCCCCTGCTGGTCACTACAGAGAAGTAGAGTCATTTCCTCATAGACGTCTATGGGAGCAGAGGAGTCGCCCCCTGCTGGTCACTACAGAGAAGTAGAGTCATTTCCTCATAGACGTCTATGGGAGCAGAGGAGTCGCCCCCTGCTGGTCACTACACAGAATGCAGCTTTAACACGTAAAGTTCTGACTGAACGACCCAACAATCTACTGGGAAAACAGGTGATGCTTCCCATTGTAGATAAACCAACTGGATTTGCTCAATAGCTCAATAATGAGAATGAAAATGGAGAATCTATTTACCTCCTCAGACTTTATGACCTCGGCGCGCTCCACGTAAACCATCTGACACACCGCGTCCTCGATGGAGTTGAACTGGCGGCCGTTACACGCCGTGTAGAAACTGTCTGCGTCTGCCTGAAGAAACAAACAAACAGCTGTGAGACGAACGGAGACACGTTCCTCCACAAAGTCCAAAGTCTGAGGCCGCAGACCAACGTGAAACACGGGGAAATAAACTGTGGATGTTATCAGACGTTATCAGACAGCTGACGAGGGAGTCCAGCTTCCCTCAACTTCCAAGATGTCATAATTAGCACATGAACACATGAGTTATGGCCAGCGAGGTCACGGAGACCGTTGACCTACAAACGTCTTCTTAAGGCTAGACCCCCCCCGCCTCCCCCAAAGGATGACGTCCCTCACCTGCGTGCAGAATTTAAGCAGAACCATGTACTGGTTGGGGGTGGAGTCCCGTATGATCTTCATGTGCTCCATGACATCATTAAAGGGCGCCAGGAGCTTCATGAGGTCGTGGCTGGTCATGGTGGCGGGGACGGTCAGGATGCAAACCATCGCGCTGCGCCTCACGTCCTCCGTCAGCGACGTCATTTTGCTGCAGATATTGAAAAAAAAAGCACAGATTATAAGACAAACACAGTTAGAAATACATAACAAGTTACATTTAAATGATTACCCATGTGACGACGCATCGTACTCATGTGACTCACTTGGTCTTGTAGAGGTGCATGATGCCGTGGACGATCTCCACAGACGGGTTCCCGCTGAAGAAGGAGATCTGGTCGGGCAGCTGCTTGGAGGGCGAGTCGGGCGCCGCGCTGGTCGCCTCGGCTCCTTCCTGCGAGGCCTCGGCTCCTTCCTGAACTACAGCCGGAGGTTCTCCGTCCTGCTCTGAGGAACCGCCTCCTTTATCTAGAGGGGAAATGGTAGTTGGCAGACGTTATACAAAGTGTTTAAAAGGGAAAAGGTACTTAAAAGAAACAAAAAGGTAATGGTATTATTAGCAAACGTTACTCAGGAGGATATAGTACATTAATTAGGGACTATTTTCAGCGGCGTATGAATCCACATCTGGTGCTACAGCTTGTGTTGGCACGGCGATGAAGGAGCAGCAATGAGGCTCGTCGATCTTAAGGATATAATTACTGTCCCTCTCCAGCTTTGAGGTCGTGTGCTCACCTGGGCCGGGCTCAAAGGTTTCGATCACCATGTCCCCCATCGACCGGCTGCCGATGTGCTGGTGCAGCACAGCTGATCGCTCCAGATCCGTCTTCCCACTCAGAGTGTGTTTGGCTACACACAGAGCCTTCTCCCGCAGATCCTCCTGCGACATGCCTTCAACTGAGAGACTCAATCAAAACCTGGGCCAGTATGCATCAGCAGAATACAAGCACCCAGGAGAACGGTCCCTGTCACTGTGATCAGCATCATCATCAGTAATATGCATACAGCTCTAACGTGTACGTCACACGTTAAGTCCTTTATCTACTGTAGGTTCGTTTGATCTAACTTACATCAATGCATCCACCATCATGTGTTTGTTTCATGTCTATCCTGCAGTTTATCACAAACATGCATCAACACATAAAGGAAACACTTCTATTCAGTAAACAACTGGCTTTCCTGGTCACTCGCTTGTTAGCTTCACGGCTAACTCCAGCACAACTGTGACGTTCACGCTTAGCTCCTCTGGAGGAAACTCACCAGCTGAGTACTGGAAACCTCGTGGAGAAGGAGACTGGTCGGCTAGCTCCAGACGGATAACAACCATAGACACACTCATGTGTTAAAAAGGAAACGGCCACTTCTACAAAGAACAAAACAACCCCGGTGACAGCTAGCTAGCTAAAGCGAGCTACTTAGCAAGCGGCTAACATGAGCAAACAGCCGTAAATAAAAGGTAGTAAAAGCAAAACAATCTTCTAAAGCAGTGCGTTAGTCATACCGGTTTGTCTGCAGACAATGTTCACAAAACCTAATTCTGTGGTTTTAACAGCTAACACACCGCAGCTGTCTAAAGCTGGCTAGCTTCCCTGTCTGTATGATCACAGCTGTTTCTGGCATGCTGCTCTTCTTCGTGTGCGGGGTTAATCGGTAGTATGCTGACCCAAAGCGTGTTGGGGCCCCCTAGAGGATCAACCTGCGTACTTCACCCAGATTGAAAAACAGGTAATTCATATAGTTAGAAATTATATATATATGTATGGATGATACGTAAATAAAGATAGAGCATTTGGATGCTGAATTATTTTAGTAAAAAATAAATAAACACAAACAACTGAACTGATCTAAAACACAATAAATATCCACTCACATATCTAAACATTTGAGCAGCTAGAAGTAACTCTTACAAATGAAAAAAACAATAAATCAACAAAAAATAGATGCAGGTTTATCTTCATTGCCGTTTACAACTTTTAAACAAAAATAAAGACAGGTGAAAACATTTCACAACCAAATTCTTGCATTTTCTTTATTTAAAAAAGCTTTGACATTCCAGTGTATCCGTTTTCCATTTTCTAACAAAAGAGGGTGGTGAGATGACACTCCAGATTGTCAACCATTATTGTGAACCCTAAACAGCATCATCATCGTCGTCATCATGAGGTGGGATCACAGACGTGTGCTCAGAGAAAAGGCATTTTATTTGCAGATGGGATTCGTATGCGGATACAAGAACAGGAAGGACGAGGATTCACTGGTTACTCACATTTTCACATTGTTCGGCCAAATTATTGATGAAATAGTAAAAAAACAAAACAAAAAGAAACTTCACACTAAGCTGCAGTCGTCAGTCATCAGTGCTGCTGGGTGATTTTTGTAAACAATGTCGGTCCATCTCTCAATGGTTATGAATAATAAGAATAAGTTCATGTCACGGAGAAGATGAAGAAAAGGTTTTTGGTTCATGACATTTCGTTTGGGGAGGGGGGGGGGGGGGGTCATACACATCTACTGCAGCTGATTATTTAAAAAAAAACACATCAAACATTCTTTCAGCGTTCTGCTGCCTTGATTTCCTATTTACAACTAGGTCCAAAGTTTGTCTGTGAATCACAAACACGTCTGTTTGACAGGACATCCCATAATAATCCATCATCGGAGGCCCAGAGGGTCAAGTGAGAGAGAACTCACGGTTCCAACTTTGCTCAAAATTGTGTTTAGTATTTAAGAACATTATTTTACATCAGCTGTGAAACAGGTCAAATTAAAAGTTTTGGCAGGTAAACACAAAAAAGTGTTAATGTTCTAAAGACTAAAAACAGGGTTTTCTTCACACACTCTGAACACAAGATAGTAAATAAAAATCACTCAACCTGAAGAAAGGAATGTTTTTAGTCTATTGGGAACACGTGGAGACTGAAGCCTCTTGTGGCTGAATTGAGAACTACAACAACAAACTTCTGATTTTTAAACCTAGTTAGTGACAAAATCTGTCAGATTTATCTTTAAATATCAGTAACACAACGCTGATTGACCCTCTGGGGAATGAAGGTGTATTTTTCTAGACTACTTTGAAGTCTGGGGGAAAAAAAAAAAAAACGCACAAAAGAAAAATGGACCAATGTGGACATTTCTAAAAACATATCGCATTAGTTTGGAATTTTGGGTGCTGCCTAAATTTGCTTACAGTTGAATAGAAACTATTGAATCAACCAGGACTGAAATGTGAAGCAGCGCCAGAGAGCCATGAAACGGGGAGAAAAACATCGAGATCACTTAAAAAAAATAACGCCCCCGAAACCACCATTCAAGCAGATGGCATCAACGACGCACTTGTGTGGATCTTGCTCTCCTAAATAAATATTAACCAGCAGGTCTCACAGGAGTGTGTCTTTGAGACGAGTTGCTGAGTTTGTGCGATCACAGACGTCGTGTTAAGAAGAACTTCTCCTGGTGTGATGGGAAAAAAGGAAAAGAAACAGAATTCCGACTTCAAAAATAAAAAGATAACGGCCCGACTCCACTACTGCTCTTTATAATGCTGCAACTACACAGGTGGTTCCACTTCCACTTCCAAAAGAGACACGCAAGATGCACAAAGCAACGACAAAAACTAAAATAAAGGACAAAGATTGTGTAACTTCAGTCTGAGTGAGTTGTGTTTTCTCTTCGTGGACAGAAACAGCTGGAAGAGCAGCACATTGAAACAACTTCCTCCGTAGTGTTAACAGTCCCAGCGTGTGTGTGTGTGTGTGTGTGCGCGCTTTGTTCTACCAGAAAAAAAAGGAATAAAAAGAAACTTAATGCATAATCTTATGAGTTATGGTGGTTGTTCTTTGCTATATACAATAATGTATTAGATTACATCTAAAACTGCTTATTCGTATTTGCTAACTTTGCCCAAGTTCATTTTTTGTGCATTTCTTAAAAATGAAAAAAAGCATGTTTTTATTCCTCATTTTTTAACTTTTGATGGCTGTATAAAGTCATGAGTTTACTTACAAGCTTTGTGTGCTAGAAGAGTTGCAGAGGTACCCGAGGTGTGTGTGTGTGTGTGTGTGTGTGTGTCGAGGGGAAAGACGAGACAACAAAAATCCAGATTGAGTCAGACGCCGAGTGGAGGAACATCAGGGACAGGAAGCAGGTGAGAGACGACTGTACTTTAGAGCTGTAGGACTCCTAGTTAACTGACAGAGTGTGTGTGTGTGTGTGTGTGTGTGGGGGGGGGGGGTGTAGAGAGTCATCTTTATTCGGGCGGCGGCGGCGGTCAGATCTTGAGGCTCTTTATAGTTTCGGCTCTCTTCCTGAGCAGATCTCCTGCCTCCTGTAGCGAGCGCAGGTAACTGCTCTGCACTTTGTCCATAGCTGCCTTGGTAAACGCCTCCTCGTCCTGAACACAGGAAGTGACATCAGACATGACATCAGTCCTCCCGTCAAGGCCAGCTTAGAGAAACTGCATGGGCGTGAACATCATGTTGTATTAAGAAGACTTGAAACTAGAGACCGAAGCCATAAACTCATGTTTACAATGTTTACTGAGGGAATAAATCAAGAGAGAAGTAGAGTCATTTCCTCATAGACGTCTATGGGAGCAGAGGAGTCGCCCCCTGCTGGTCACTACAGAGAAGTAGAGTCATTTCCTCATAGACGTCTATGGGAGCAGAGGAGTCGCCCCCTGCTGGTCACTACAGAGAAGTAGAGTCATTTCCTCATAGACGTCTATGGGAGCAGAGGAGTCGCCCCCTGCTGGTCACTACAGAGAAGTAGAGTCATTTCCTCATAGACGTCTATGGGAGCAGAGTCGCCGCCCCCTGCTGGTCACTACAGAGAAGTAGAGTCATTTCCTCATAGACGTCTATGGGAGCAGAGGAGTCGCCCCCTGCTGGTCACTACAGAGAAGTAGAGTCATTTCCTCATAGACGTCTATGGGAGCAGAGGAGTCGCCCCCTGCTGGTCACTACAGAGAACGCAGCTTTAACCTCACGTCTCAAAAAGGTTGCCGTCTGGTCCACACTCACCTGTGTGTGTCCTTCCAAGCTCAACCCGGCCAGCTTAATGGCGGTGATGCCCGTCTCCTGCCCCTTTATAAACTCCAACGCCTGGGTGAGCAGGTCCTGCAAGCCCCCCGTCAGCTCCTGGAAGCCACACACCACCGCCGGCTGAAAAAGGGACACAAAGCATCCGGTCAGGACATGTCAGGCTGCTTCAGGAGGGTCAAAAGCAGAGGAACCGCACCAGAGCCGTGTTTGCGTCCTTTTTCTTCTTCTTCTTCTTCTGTAGACTGGTCTTGAGCGGCCGGAGGACCTTGGCGCAGTGGCTGGCCGTCCACAGGACGACGCACACCGTCTGGGGAGCAAAGGCCGCCTCGTTTAACCGGAGCACACGTGCAGCACACAGAATGTAGGGACCACGTGGAGATTTCTCACCTCAACGAAGAAGACTAGGTTTTCTAGTAAGGAGGGCCGGGTTTTTAACTTGCCCTCTTTCATTTCCAAGAAATCCCCTTTGCATCTATTCAGTATTTCTGTGGGGGGAGAGGAAGAGAACATGAGGCGCGACGGACTCGGACAGACATCTGCAGTTGGACGTTGAGGACTCTCACCTTGAAGCTGAGCTACTAATGATTTGAAACCGTTACAGATCTGGGTCTGAAGCTCCGACGACTCGTCTGAGGGAGTAAAAAGAGCAAAAGAAAAGGAAGCGGTGAGTGAAAAAAAAAGAAAAGCACCACGCCGGCATCGACCAGCTTCAAACCCCCCCCCGACGTCTCTGCTCACCGAGGCCGACGTCCTCCAGCTCCTGGACGTTGACCGACAGCTGCAGGGCCGCCGCCTGGCACTGACAGCTCCCGCTGGACAGGGCCGAGGCCAGGCGGGTGGAGGGGGGGCCCAGGAATGGATACTGGAGGGCAAGTAAGAACCATTCAAAGGGAATAAGAAGAAAAGCGTGTGGTGGGGTGTGAGATGTTTGTGAATTAAAAAAATGTCTAACTAAACCAAATTCAGACACAATGCATAGACGCCATGGACAGGTGAGCAAATGGAGCGCACCTTCACCAAAGACGCCACACACACACACCTACCTGCGTGCGTCTCTCTGCTATCTGCGCCGCCGTCTGCAGGGCGAGCTGCAGCTGGCCGAGCAGCCCGCCGAGGACGGAGCTCCCGCCTCCCACTCCGTTCTCGTTGGTAGTGTCAGAGTTCTGCGGCGAGGGCGCGCGCCCCGACGAGGCCAGAGAGGCCAGGAGGCGCAGCGTGAGCGAGCGCAGCCGCAGCCACGCGGTCTCCTCCTCCAGGGAGCGCCGCCGGTGCTCCTCGGTCAGCTCCCTGCGGAGGGGAGGAGGTTCAAAATGTGACGAGTTGCTGGTCGACCTCCACGAAACGCGCACGTCACAGAACTTGGGACCGACCTGTCTTTGGGGTCCCAGCTGGTGAAGACGGTGAGGTCCCTGTTGTCCCTCATGGTGTCCCAGGGGATGTCGTCCTCCTCTGGAGACAGAGACATGGCCCTCACACTCTCCTCCAGACTCAACACGCTGGAAGACAAATAAGGGGAGTGAATGAAAGCAGCGGCGGCGGCGGGCGGGCGACGGTTCAGAGCGGCTCCTCACATGTCGGCCTCTAGGAACAGGTCCAGCAGCATCCGCTCCGTGCGCACCTGGGCGAAGTGCAGCGATTGGTTCAACCGGTTCCTGAGAGCTATGAACTCTGGGATCTTCTCGAACGCTCCGTACTTGTACGCCTGGATGATGTACTCTGAGGTCTGGGGGGTGGGGGCACATTGAGGGTTAGTTTAAAATGTTGAGCGAGCAGGATTTAAGGATGGAGACGGACTCACATCTTTCTGGTTGGAGTGGAAAAACCTGAGGGAGAAGTTACAGGACTGGGAGGCTGCAGCGAACTGACCCAACGACTCAGCGTAACGCGTCAGCAGGAACCTGCAGATCACAGAAGAAACACGTCACATATTATGACAATTCAAGGACCACCAGGAGAGATGAGTGTAGTTGCAGCTTCTGGATATGTTCAACTATGTAGTTTTGGTGATTGTGTGCAGAAAACCGGCTTTTCAATGCGGCAGATTTAAGCCCTTTCGTCCCTTTTTGCAGCAATAAAACCAGCTGTCATTTAACGGCATCTGTGAAGCTCCATCGTTGGAGCAGGTTTACTGACCCGATGGTGTCGTGCTGCACGTGCTTGGCATCCAGGCTCGAGTACAGGTCCACCACGGGCTCAAAGGCCCCCAGGTGACAGTAGACCAGCAGCAGCAGCAGCTTGAACTGGGCGTTGGAGGGGCTGAGGGTCAAACCCTCCTGGAGGACGCCCAGACACCGCCACACCATGTTGTCATCGCCTGCGGCACAAACGACGAGAAGCCGCTCAGGGACGCGGCGAGCAGAGGGAAGACGAGGGAGAGGAGGAACTCACCCGTCTCCTTCCACAGGTCCACGTAGACGTGAGCCGCCATGAGGCAGTACATGTCGGAGAACTGCAGCTCCGTCTTCAGCGCGTTTGTCCCTGAGAAGGAAGAACAAAAAGACCCTCGGAAACGTGTCCTACAGCATCTCCATGTCAATGCAACATTTAAAGAGGATTCAAACAAACTTCACCAGTATTTAAGACGCTGTCTCAAACGTTCCTCAGTACTGAAATTTGATTCCCAACTTTTTGAAATATGAATCCAATATTTCAGGTTTAGCCCTAAATTTAGTTTAACTTCAGCACGTCTTGGATTCTATTTTTAAACATATTGAAGCTCAAGATCTACGATGGTTGTGAATTAACTTGCAACGTGCAGGTCGAGGTCGATATTTACTATTCATAGTGTGACAATCACAGCCGGACCTAAACCGGTGTTTTGAAGGAGGTTTACAAAGTAAACAAAGAGCCGACTCCGTCCCGCGTTCAGTGAGCAGAAACGGCCGAAACGCTGCCGGTTTCCATATGCGAACGAGTTGCGACGGAAACGAGCCTCCGCAGGTGAAAAAATTTGGATTATTATTAAAAAGGCTGCTCTCACCAAACTTGAGCCCGTGACGATAGTGAGCCTTGAGCTGGGCGATGAGGCGCAGCTTCCCGTCGGGGTCGAGGGCGTGGTGCAGCCCGAGGGCGCGGCCCAGCTGGCTCACGCACAGGTGCCTCTGCATCGCTTTGGTGTCCTCCGGGAAGCAGAGTCCTTCGTCCCCCTGCTGGCCCAGGGGCACCGCCTCGCCCAGACGGTTGATGAACTGAGGGGAAAAGAAGAGGGGATGGGGGGGGGGTTAAAGAGAAAAAGAAAAGGACGCACCGGCCGCGTCACAATTCAACGACAACGCCGTAGCTCACCTGCACGTGCTGGTCGGGGCAGAGCAGGTGGAGGTATATTTTTAGGTCGGTGATGCAGCAGGGTTTGTCTCCGAACTTCCCAAAGAACTGCACCATGAGCTCGAGAGGGTCACCTGTTTAAAGCCAAACACACAGAGGCTGAAGCAGCAGTACAGAGAGCGGGGCGGGACGGGGGGGGGGGCAGAGAGCGGTGTTTTTACCTAGGAGCCTTTCTTCAGGACGGCCCCTCTCCCTCAGTCGGTGCATGAGCTCCAGCCGAGCTAAGTAGGGTCCTCGGAGCGAGCGCGAGTCTTTGCCGTCCTCCCCGGTGATCCTCTCCTCCACGAACCTCATCACCTCGGCAACCGTGTGGTGGACCGAACCCTCCGGACAGCTGCGGGGGGGGGGGGGGGGGACCGACACACAGAATAAAAATTCTATACATCACCTTATAATATTGGCATGTATGGAAACCTAAACAACTGGCTCTTATCCCTGTGGCTCGTAAAAAACCCGCGGTGAAATTAGTCATTATGGATGTATTGGTTAATCACTAAAAACCTCCGGCAAGTGTAAACGTTCTCCGTAACTAAACGTTGGACTCACTGTTCTCCGTCCTCAGGAGGACTCCACGACTGGTCCATCAGGTGGAAGAGGGAGTCAAAGTAGGAGGGGTAGAACTGCCAGTCGTCAGGGCTGGAAACACAAAACACTCGGGTTGGTCTCGTCTGCCGCCCCCCCCCCCCCCCCCTCAAAAATACAACCCGGTCCTGAACCCGGTACTGACTTTTTGAGCAGCAACTTGTGAGCCAGCGAGTTGGACCTCCGCCAGCGCTGCAGCCTCCGGTAGAACATCATGCACTTGGACTCTCTGCTCTGCAGCTCGCTGGGCAGCTTCTCTGTGGGGACACACACACACACACACACACACACACACACACACACACACACACAAAAGATTATTGGGGGACATTGGATCCATGAGCCCTTCTGAGGTGTTCAAAACGTGCTTATTCCTTCCTGCTCCACATTGCTTTGCTACAAATACTGAACGGAGGATGTTATTCCAGAAGAGAACCCGCCTGCTGGCTCATGAGCAAGTTTTTCATAAAGAAGGTAGAGGAACAGACACACTCACCACCGAGAGGGCCCCTGATCACATCCAGAGCCTCCACACACTTTCCTAAGCGCTCCAGGATCATGAAGTACAGCTGCACCTGCAGCCACAGAGGAACACAGAGAGACGGCTGTAAAACTGAGCCCAATGATCCAGAACACAAGAAGCTTTGATTTCCGGGAAATCCTCAGAGAAGAAGCTCGTGTTATTTTTGAGGTGAGAACTCTTCTTATTCTGCACTGAAGAACTGCGAGTTCTCTTCACTTTGTCATGGTTCTGTTTGCACAGAGGACTTTTATGTTGCAGCAATAAACCACAGAGAGAAACTGGAAGAAAAAACCCCGACCCGAAGGGTCTTTGGGTTAAATAGTTTATTTTAAACTTAAATGAAAATCCTTGAGGTCCCTCTACTCACCTCTGCCTCTGCTTCGATCTTCTCCTCCTTGACCATTTTCTCCACCATGCGCTCAGCCAGGGGCAGGAACATGGTCTGGGACAGTTTCTCATCTTGTGCTGAGATGGCCTGAACAAATAAAAAAAACAGCGTTTTTTCCACATCTGGGGAAATAGAAACTAAGACAAAAGAAGAAATCGGCCCATACCTGCATCACCAGACTCATGACGGACCAGAAGTAATACGGATTCTTGGGGACGATTTTATACAAGGCCATTCCTGCCTGTAAAGGGCCAAGATGAAGCCATCAACATCCTCTTCATTACATCTCCATCTTTCTTTCGTGTTTTCATTGTTTGTCATTACCAACAGAGCACAAAAGCCACAGCTGTCAGTCACGCGTGCAGACGGGTTCACGTGCACGGACGCCAGCGTCTCTCACCTGCTGCATCTTCTTGTACTCGCCGACGCGGGCGTACGCCATGAAGAGGTGGGAGTGGTACTCCTCGCTGAGAGGAATCTTCTTCACCGCAGCCTCGTACAGCTTGGTGACCAACTCCGCTGTGGGCGATCGGCACGGCATTCAGCGCGCAGCCATCCACCGTTACAGAGCGCGTGTGTGTGTGTGTGTCTACTCACGGCGATGCATCTCCCGGTACAGAATAGTCAGAGCCTGTAGCGAGTTGTCGTCCGTGGGCTCGAGGGTGGCCACCTCCTGGGCCAACGTGAAAGCTTCGTCCTGCTTTCCGGTCCTCTGAAGGCCGATGGCCTTTAGGACCTGAACGTGGAGGCGAATAGCGGTAGACGGACATGTGGAAGCGCTCAAGAACACTCTGTGGCGAACCGTTGACATCCCTGATCCAAGTGAATATTTCACCTTTCTCAGGACTGTTACAGTAAGTGATCTTATAGAGATTCATACCAACATAAAGTTACGTTAATCAGGGGTTTGAGGTGACGTTATTCAAGCAAAAGCGTACCAAGGAGCACAAATCGGCCTAGAACTGAAGTCTGTTAAGTCACAAATGGTCGATAAAAGAGAAAAAGCTTCCTCTATTCATTCGTAGAAATATCCAACAAGTTTACTAGACAAAAACGAAGTAGTCTGTAGTTTTACATCCACACAGACGTCTGCCATCAGCAGGAAACAAACACTCAACTGGACACTCGTGTGGAGAAGAATTGCCCCCCGGTCACCCACCTTGGCACAGTGCAGGTCCTTGTGTTTCTTCAGCAGTTTATCGGCCTGCTGTATTGCCATTTTATTGTTGCCATTATCGAGGTAATCTGGGGAATCAGGAGGACATCATCATCAGATGAAAGATGGCGATAGTAGACTTTACCTGTGAATTCATCTTATATACAAGTTGGAACAAAATGAGTAAATACAGGAGGTCAATTGACTGAAATCAATATACAAAATTACAATTAAGTCAAAATCGAGCTAGAACAGCAGATGCTTCCTGCTTCAGTGTTGTGAGGGTTTTCTTTGTCTTACTAAATTTAAGTATTTTGTCTTTATATTATTGTAATAGACATTTTTCTGCATCGTTTTATGCTCAACACACAACTATTCAATCATGAAAACAATCTGCAAACCTTGACATATTTAAAAGTTCATCGTAACTCTTTCTAAACGGTTTGTTACAGTTTGCGGGCGGATGCAGACGGAGACACGTCGGTTTGGCCTCCACGGGACAGCTGGGGGACTAAATTAACTCCACCAGACGGGACGCCGTGGACACGTCATGTCTATTCTCTCCGGTCAAACCGAAGAACCACGAGTTCACCAACGCACGAAGCTCCAGCCCCACTTCTCCTCCACCACACGTCAGACAAACATTGTACTGTATATTGTCCCCGATTGCGTTTGTCTTACTACACTGGCCATGATAATAATTGTCATTTCATTTCAGATGTCCTTTCTCCATCCTGTTCCTGTCCTGGTAAAACCACGCAGCACCAGATGTGTTGCTGATGGAAGCTTGTGATAAGCTGAAGGATGAAGGACTCCTCTGTGAGGCCACGCTCCTGCTTCTTCAGCTAAATAAACTTTAGAAAAAGCCACTTTGATCGACTGGAAACCATCTTCACTAAGCTGAAAGAGGCTGTTTGTTCTTGTTAGAGATACGAGGTTCTACAAACATGATGCTCCAAAAAAATATGATGAAAGTATTAACTAGATATGATATAAAAGGTGATACATTAATGCAGTAGAGATTATGTGTGTGTGTGCATATCCATAAACACACATGCAATAAGTATTTTTACTTTCCGTACTTTCAGTAAATGTTTGCGTGTAAGTAACATTAAGCTTTTGAAACTTAAAAACGTGCACAAAGAATGAACTAATGTCAAATTAGTACCTGATGTGAATACAGGTATTATACAAGGGTTATTATTTATCAGCCCTTCTATATAGAGAGCTCCGTGAGCTGTGACAGCTCCATGCTAGCTAGCTAACTGGAGTTAGCTTGAAGCATTGTCCTTACACTATTATGAACCTGACGCTAGCTGGGAGCTAACCGCTTAACAGTTAGCCAGCTACAAAGAGGGTCCACCCTCAGACCGGAGACGAGCAGCGAACCACAACGGAACTGCTCTTCAACAAGAGGCACACAAACAACATTAGTAAACAACTTTTGTTTTTAAACATACCCTGCAGTTAATCTATGCTAACTGCCGGGCTAGCTGACAGATTAGCATGTTAGCTAGCTGTCAAATAGCGACCGTTAGCAAAAAAAAAAAAAAAAGGAGTTCGACTTTGAGAATCAACACAAACCGGACGACAGACGCTCTGCTTCATTCATTGCTTTAACAAGAACGGTAATGTCTACCGGTTTTGCACCGGGGAACAGGGGAATCAAGTTGTATTCTTTTGTATTCTTTTTTTTATCCACACAGCCATGCCGTACCCCGGCTCGCTGCTAGCCCGGGTAAGGTGCACTGTCATCGGGCGATGCGGGCAGCAGACACCGTGGTCGCAGATGGTGCGGCCGCATCGGCGCTCCACTGACTCACAAAAGCTCGCGCTTTAACAGCCGTGCGCCGGCACGGAGCGCGCGGGACGCGTCCCAAACACGTGTAAAAGTCCATTGAGTGCTTACCGTAAATGGGCCTGAGTCTCCTGTCGTTCGGATCCTGCACATGGCCTCGCGCCGCCATGGTGGAGTTTACCTGCTGTGGGGAAATGGTCGCGCATGCGCAGTGGGAGCTGCGTGGCGAGGCGCACGGGTTTAAATCAAATGTATTCAGTCTGTGGTGGAGGTAATGCTCATTGTTCCGATCCGTGATACCACAATGCAGACAAGTACCTTTGTCGTCACTCGTCACTTGTTCGATTATGCACTTTATGCTTAATATTTTTCAACTTTTTTAATATTTTAAATGTTTAACGTTAACTTTATTCTCTTGTTTTATACTAAACCATAGCCTTATTCTACTAACCCATTGCATTAACATTTCATTTTACTGTATTACTTGTGCACTGCTGTCTTTTGTTACACTGTCTACTGTCACGCACCAACCGCCAATACAAATGTCTTGTATGTCCGACATATTTTGGCAATAAATGAGTCCTGATTCCTGATATACCTCAATGCAGACACAAGTACCAGGTAGAAATACCACAATGCAGACAAGTACCAAGTAGAAATACCACAGACCTACAGAAAGACTGCGTTCAAAAAGTACAAACGTATTTTATTAACAATTTACGGTTACTGTGCTCATGTGAAATCTAAGTTACTTGTGCTTTACTTTCCATTCAGGTGCAATAAAAACCACGCAATCATATCACTGTAGATTTTGATGTTTTTTTTAATCATACTTTCACTGTGAAAGATACAAGTGCTGTTTAACCACAGCAATGCTTGTATTATAATTACTATACTTTTTTTCGATCCATTATTTCACTAATGTTTCTTTATGTTCACTGGTAGAGAAGTTTAATTTAACAAATCAATAAACATATTAGAGTTTAGCTTCATCTCCCACTGGCAGATTTTCTGCAGGAATGTTATAAAGTTGCTGCTCATTTTTTGTTTTACGTTTTTCATATTGAATCTAATTTGATCCTGAAACGTCTGAAACAATAATAATGTAATAATATTACGTATCCAAATCACGAGTGATTTCTTTATAGAGATGTCGTGAAGAATTAAAAGCAAACATGAAAAAGTCAATAATCACCTCAAAAGAAAAAATAAATAAATAAATAAAACCAGGAAACGGCACATTGATTCTCTTATTTGATCAAATTTATTAGATATTCTGTTATGTTCCATTGTCTAGACCTTCTGTCACAGCGCGGGAGCCGTGAAAAAAACAAAACAAACATGAACTAACTGTTTTACATTCACTACCAATTCCCCTGAATGTCGCCTCGTCAGAAAAGAATAAAACAGAGTACATCGTGAGTCTTTGTCTTTCAAAATGAAAACATAAAAGAAAAAAACAGTAGATTTTGCGAGTGTGTGTTCATGATCACAATAAAGACAGCAGTATTTGACTCCACCTGTTCACTAAGCCCCCCCCCCTCGTAGAAGTGATCCCGTACTGTACATCACACGGTCCCGGTTTGATCCAGAGGGAAGAGCCCCCCCCCCGTAAAGCAAAAACAACATCAAAAAAAGGATTTCCCTTCTTCTCCGACGCTCCTCAAGAGCTTCTAACGATCAAACACCACCGAGACTAAAGAGCAGAAGGAAATAAAAGCTGCTGAGCGTGCAGATCCAAAGACGGACTCATTTAGTGATTTACTTTTAAAGAAACTTTTCCTCGAGCACAGACGACTCAGACGGACCCGACGCGGCTACGCACAACGTGTCCATTTCTACAACGGGCCTCGCACGAAGAACACCGGTCCAACACACACACGCACACAGACACGCACACACGTCTCGGCCCAAAGCCATCGGACCGACTCTCCTACAGGAAGATGAAACGATTAAAAAGAACTGGACACGTGCAGAACGCTCGTCGGTCCTCGACTACGACAAACACCGTCAGTCCAGACAGGAAGCGGTGGTTTGATTAATATACACTTTGGAAAAACACGTCCTTGATTCATGCTCTCGTTTGTTTTAGTTTCAGTTTTAAAAAGCAAAAGAAAGAAGCTCGGGTGGAGGTTTTTTAGAGCCCTCCTGGGGGAGGAAGGACATGCAGCGACGGCTTGCTGGTGACGGAGGCCACGCAGGAGCCTCCACCTCCACCTCCAGAGCGACGTCCGTTAAGAGCCAAGGCAGCTGATCACACACACACACACACAGACTCACACACGCACACACACACACACACACACACACACACACGCACACGCACACACACCACTCGAGAGTAAGCTGCACTGCATCGACTGCACGCATGCAGTGACAGTTGAGCGAGGAGTTGCTGTTGTCCACATGCACACGTGATAGAGGGGGGGGCGTAAGAGGTGCGAGGGGGCCACGCTGTGACAAATCCATAAAAAGAAAAGACATGAGTGAGACCGCAGTGGGGGGGGGAGGGGGGCTTCACCAGGAAGGAGTATAGGCAATCCTGGGGGGGCGGAGGGTGGTTATAATACAAGGATGGGGGTGGGATGGAGGGGGGGGGGGGTCTTCTCATACCAATTGTTGTGGGAAGCTAAAAACATTGTAAATAATTTAAAAGGCTCGACTTTGAGTCACGGTTCACACGTCTGTATAAGAACAAAAGCCCAACTAACGATTACACATCAGGTCAGTTACGTTCTGTGCAAAGAGGGGGGGGGGGGGGGGCTTCTTTTTTTACATTACATTTTTATATCTATATGCAAAACCATGTGTTTTCTGTAGTGACCAGGAGGCTTGTGATCGGGGTAGAATCTGTACAGTACTGTTAACCAATCTTCATCATCAAACCCCCCAATGAATCATGTGAGACGGGGAGGAGACGCAACGCCGGGGGCCCCTCCTCATCGTGGTCTCTGATGACATCATCGTGACGGGGTTTGGTTGATTTGCCTCATTGCTCATGAGCAGCACTGGTGCCTCGAATCGGACCTGTATTACGCAGCTGGGCGAGAGAGAGAGAGAGAGAGAGGGGGGGGGAAGTTAGAAGGAGACCACAGTGGACATGTTTACGTCGGTGAGCGCATGCAGGGGGGGGACAAACATCTCAGCGACAAGTGCTGTAGAGCTGCAACACTTTTTACATTTATATCTGTTTAAATAAAGCTTTGAAAGTCCAAGTTATCGACAGACTTTCTTCATTATTATTTCAACAACCAAATCTTACAATTAAAAGCATTATCAGATAAACTGAAGGTCAAACGTTATTTTAAAGGCTAAACAAAGACAGTAAAGACCGACAGTAAAGTACATCCCTTAATAACATACCCGTTATAAACTTACTCTTTACACTTTGTTTGACATATTTTATTATACATTTTCATACCTTTTTTTAAATATTTAATTTCTAAAAGGCAACATCTGATTTAAAAGGTCCTTTAAGCTCAAACACATTTTTCTCCAATACGCTTTAAACAGGAAGTCAAATCTTATATTAACATGCTATGCTAACATTATGCTAACATTATTGCAGCCTGATTTTTATGTGCAACCGTGCAGAAATACCAAGAAGAAGTTGATGGGGAACTTTATGAATGAAGCCCCCCCCCGGCGTGCAGCCCCCCCCCCGAACAAAGAGAAAGCAGAGTGAGGACGTCAGGACGTGAGCTGATGAGCGGAAACAGAGCGGTTAGAACGAGATGGAAACATGGGGAGAAGATAGAGTGGAGACAAAGTGGAGGAGGATGCTCCATGGAGCGCCGCCCAGCCTCCTCCACCTCCCGCGGCGGCGGCGGCGGCGGCGGTGGGGGGGGGGCCGAAACTTTATTCGCCCGGCTCTCGGGTTGTGAACTACAGAGACGGGCCTCTACACGTCAGTCGCTGAGGTGCCTCGCACGTCTCCCTTCTGACGCATCTGATCGGGAGCAATCAGGGGTGAAAGGGTTAAAACGGGACGCCTCGCCTCCGGCCGCCTGGTCCGACCACAACACTCACAACAGAGCCCCCCCCCCCGTCCCCCCCCTCCGGCTTCTGTAGGTCTGTAAACATGCAACAGATCCACTGGTACTTTTACTGCACCGGCGTGAGGGACAGGAAGGAGTCATTTACCTCTTCCAGCTCTTTTTGGGTCTCCTCCTCCATCCGCCTGATGTCCTCCATGGTGAGACCCACCCACCTGTCCATCCAGCAGAACAGCTGGCGGTGGAAGTTGGTGAAAATGCGCCTTTCTTGCTGTGGAAGGAAGAAGAAGTCTTGTTGTTTCCTGTGTTTGTTTTCCAGAACGCCGGCGTCTCTTCCCTCAGCGAGACGTCTTCCTCACGCACGACAGACCAAACACACTTCTGCATGGAAGATGGAAGTGCTCCTCTCCGCCTCCGTTTCCACGTCAACGTGGGTCAAATAGCTGTCGGACTAAGAAATGCTCAAAGCGCGTTCCAGTTTTTATTTAAAGAAGGTGGTCCGCAGGCCGTGGTGAGAAACACAACCAATACTGCGCTAAACGCATGACCACCAGAGGAGAGGAGGCCTACCGTGTGGATGAAGTTCTCCACTTTGGTCTGCAGACCCCACCACCTGAACTTGACCGTGACCAGTTTGTACGCACACATGTAGGGACAGTCGGTCTTCAGCTCGTTCTGTGGAGGACGGGAGGTGAGAGCGTTAGTCTCTGGCGGGGCTTTCAGGGTGCTACGTCGGGGTCTACGTCGGGTACCTTCCAGTCGGGCCCGAGGGGCCCTCTGCCCGTCTTGGCGGAGTGGAACAGGGCCGGGTCTTCTTCTGGCTTATAGTCCTAAAACGTCATGGAAGCAGAACATTAGTTCCCTGAGAGAAGCTACAGACGAGTGTTGGAGCTGTGTTCTCTGCACTGACCAGCAGGGGGCGACTCCTCTGCTCCCATAGACGTGTATGGGAAATGACTCTACTTCTCTCTTGATTTATTCCCGTCAGTAAACATTGTAAACATGAGTTTATGGTCTCAAGTCTTCTTCGATACAGCACGATGCTCATTTAGTACATTATTGTCCATTTAGAGTCAAACAGACCATTGACAGGTCTCTCAATAGACCATAAAGCAGGAGGTGCTTTAGGGCGGGGCTACATGCTGATTGACAGGTCTCTCAATAGACCATAAAGCAGGGGACGCTTTAGGGCGGGGCTACATGCTGATTGACAGGTCTCTCAATAGACCATAAAGCAGGGGACGCTTTAGGGCGGGGCTCCACGCTAGTCCAACAAAAAGGCCCCGTGTTGCCAAACCTCACTGTTCAAAGCTGTCGAGGACGAAGCAGGTTGGTTCTTATTTTTCTTGACCATGTCTATCCTAATTTATATTCCATCCAGATTCAATCCAGGCAAGGTCAACCAACCAGAAAGAAACATCTGTGAGGCTTTACGTGTTGTCTTAGCATTAATATACAGATTAAAAACCCATTTGATTGTCTGAAAAATAAAACATTGACCCAGAGGTCAAGGCTCACTGTGCCGTTGTAATCCATCAGCACTGCCGAGACCAGATGGACGTTCAGATTAAGCCCCGGCTTCAACACTGATCCACTTAAGTCATTAGGAGACAGGAGCCCGTGTGAGAAACGTCCACCTGGATGAAACGGGCTTAATGGCTGCTTAAAGACGTAAAACCACAGGCAACTTGGCGTTTAGCTACAACTGAGTGACAGGTGACGAGCATCATCATGCTTTGGAAAAAGAGACAGAACGACCTGGGCTCAATAAATGCAGCCCGATTGGGGCTTTGAAGAGACCAAAGGCAGTATACACGTCTCTGGTAGAGACCTGTCAATCTCAGTAAGCCCCGCCCTAAAGCGTCCCCTGTCGTATGGTGCGTTTGACTCTACATGGACCATGATTTACTAAATGAAGAAGACTGGAGACTACAGACTGAGACCATAAACTCATGTTTACAATGAAGTAGAGTCACTTTCTCATAGACGTCTATGAGGAGTCGCCCCCTGCTGGTCACTGGCAGAACCAGCGGCTGCCGCCTTAATTACCTTCAGTTAAAAGTGGGGTCATGAAGGCAACACGAGACCCGCGAGACGCCCCTTTCAAAGAAATGGTCCCATTCGAACGGTGAACTAGTACAACTAGCCCAGCTGAGCCGTTACTACGACGTAGCATCGAGCTAACGTCACGTGTCTTAGCGACTAGAGGAACCTCCCTTAGAATAGGAGCCTGATGAGTTGAACTCTGGAGCCAAAGCTGGAGTTGATTAGCTGCTGGTTCCAGAGTGGCACGAGGCACAGGAAACGAACCCTACTTCTAAGCACATTACCCCAAAAAAACACCCGTCTGCATCTTTATTCCTGATTACAATCACCCACAGAATGTGTGAAAGGGAGAAGTGGCAGAAGGAAGAAAGGAACTGAATTATTGCGTCTCCAAAAGGCACAGGGGGAAGTTTTGTGTGAGGCTACAGGGAAGTGCAGCTGTAGATCTCGTGCGTAGTTCATTCCTTTACTCTGAACTTGCATCAAGAGGAATGAGAGCTCGGCTCAAAGCAGCGTTCGGTTCAGTGAGGCCTCGTGGCCAATGGTTCGTGACCCCTGGGAGACGCATCTCCTCCTCGGGGTGGAGACATCCTGCAACAGGAAGGTCCAGCTTTCTTCAAAAGCAGCGACTCACCCCGTGGGTGACTTCGTCTCTGTTGGCGATGTCGATGGGAGACACCTCCACGGTCCTCCACGTCTGCTCGTCCAGGTCGTGGACCTGACACGGGAGAGACAAGCGGGTGAAACTAGGACCCAGGAGGCAGGAAACGAGGACGAGTGCAAACCGAATGGGACTCTACTCCTCGCCGCCTCTTTATGGAATCAGGGAGATTCATTTCAAACAGAGAGCCTGCATTATGAACAGGGGCTTGTGTTGCATTATGGGAAACGTAGGACCAGGACACAGCTGTGTTTTTCTTCTGTTCTGTAGCACAAAAACACTCACGTTCTCTATTGTTCCCATGTCGGGTTTGTGCCACGTCTCGATCTTTATCATGAAGTCGTCCTTCATGTACTCATTCTGAAAAGCAGGAGACAAAACGCACAATCAGGGCGGCATCATCATCATCATCATCATCATCAGCTCGCGCACACGCCGAACGGACAAAGATGAACTTAAACCTTCGGCTAAATCCAATTAACCGATCAGACGTTTCTACTGAAACGACACCGGCGGCGCTGCTCGGCTCTATCTTTAACCCGCGTGGAGTCGGCTGCTGTGTGGGAGTACTGGGAGGTAAGTAGGTAACGTCACGCCGGCACACACCATACTAGTATTAGTGATCAAAACACCTTACAAATCAGACTTACAGATGCTTTTTTTCGCTCTAAACATTTGGATTTATTCTGTGACGGGTGATTTCTTGAGACTCAAGATGAGATCTCTTCAGACTCGCCTAAAACATTAAACAAATTAAAATTGTACTCATAATGGCTCTTATCTAAAGCAAGTTGTAGATCGGCTTATTTGATGAAATTGCCCTTGAGTTTGTATCCTTATGGTTGAAGCGTCAGCTGAATGACAGTAATGTAATAATAAAAAGACTGAATGAAATGATGGACAATGCTGCTGCTGCTGCTGTTAGCGGTTAGCTCCACGGTTAGCCCCGATACACAAAGACATGCAGGGGAATGAAAAGGCGTAAATAGTAAACTACTCACCGTCACAACTGCAGAGGAAGGCGGGTCGGGGGGGAGGAGGGGGGAGGAGGAGAGAAGATAAGCATCAGAAAGGAGGACTCCGGCGGGACGTGAATCATCTTTGACTAACTGTTTAAGCTACCGAGGACACATCCACCCTCCATTAAGAGACTCGGTCGTCCTCTAGCTCGCTGCACTGAGACAACATCAAACATGAACGCATTCATTGGCCGGCATCAACTTACTGGTGCGACAGTACGGGTAGGCGTTCCAAGCCTTTTCGTGAAAAACTAACGCTCCCTCTGGTGCAATCATCTTCACATAACCTGGGACTTTACTGCAGAGGGAGAAGAAGGAAGTCAAACCTTTAGAAATAAAAGCACCCGCAGATCTGGAGCGGGACATTTTGTCTGCCTGTGTAGCTGAATTAAAGCATTTGGTTTCTTCTAGGATGGTTAATTATCCTCCAAGACGTGTTCTCCTGCAGCCTCAAAGAACCAGTCACACGCCGGACAATAAGGACACGTTCAGTTCTCCTATTAATAAGAGTTATTATGTCTAATGACTAAAGTATATTTATATTTAGGAGAATCCGGGAGGTCGAGCTGCACGCCGTCATGTCGCTGGAGAGGAAGGCGCCACGTTATCATCAGAGAAGAAAAAAAAAAAAAAAGATCTTCTTCCGTACGAAGCAGGAACACGCGAGGAGGTCCAGCTGCTAGTTTGCTCCCACCCGAACCAACGCGTCCAGACGGGGGTCTCCGGTGTCCGTCCCACTCCGGTTACTTGGCCAAAAGGACGATAGCAAAGCCACAAGAGCCTGCTGTGTGACGCTGGTATTTATAAATAATTTATACTTTAAGTCTAGTCGATGTCGGTCACAGAGCGATAAAACAAATGCCCCCCCCCACCACGGCTGCATGCGTGTTCACATGTAGCACAGGAATACAAACACTCACAGGACCGTCAGACTTGCCTCTTTAGGTGGTAGATTTTATGCGTGTACTGTCCCTTCTCGCCATCCTTCTCGTAAGGTTCGTTCTTCAGCACCTCGATGCCCTCTCCTCCCCCCGTCTCGTTCTTGCTGGCCTCGGCCACAGAGAACAGCTGCCCTACTTGATACTGGGACAGAGACGGAGACAGAGGACGCCGGCTGAGTGAAACGGCATCAGACTGCAGGACCTGATCCAAGGGACCATTTGCCGGACGAGGCAGGAACCGGGCCGCCCTCGGGAGGACGCGGTACCGCTAACAGCCACCAGAGGCTCCACTTCTTTATTACACGGGTTTCAAATGAGGCCTTGTGTGTTTTTCTGCTTAGTCGTCACTCGAGTCTGGACAGCGGAGGCAGTTTATGGGGAAACAAACAGAACCGAGGGGAAAGCGGCCCGATGTATGATGACAAAAGCCCAATTTCACAACATAAGTGATCGCTATGACGGGAAGGCTGAGCTCACGGGCGAGTCCATCTCGCTTTCCGCCAACGCCCCCCCCCGGCGCCCTCGAACAGAGGCCGTTGTGTTAGCTGTGACCCAGACAAAGGGCGACTGGACCGGCGTTCGTCATTTAGGCTTCAGCTGCGATACGCACGACAATCGGAGGCGGCGGTGATGTCAAACAGGGTACGGGGGGGGGGGGCAACGATCACTCACCTCTTCCACAGAGACTGGCAACACTACACGGCTGAGGGGGGAGACGGGGGGGACGAGGCGGGCAGGAAGTGGAGAGAGAAACAAAACAAAAAGTTAGACACATTTGTGGAAAGTAGCAGACGTTCAAACGTTGAGGATGTGGACCAGACAGCTGGGCTCCAACCAGCAGAGCCTGATGGACCAGGAACTTCATATTACCACATATTTATCATGAAATCCATCCGTCGGCGTGCGAATGGCACCGAGTGACCTCACAAAAAGCCCAAAGCATGAAGCACGCGTAGATAAACTCCATGTTGGGGGGGAAAAGAAAGAGGAACTGACGTCGAACCCCCACTTTGGTCCCTCACAGTACGTCGCTGTGGAGCAGCTACACGCGGTTATTAAACTACAAGGAGAACAGCAATCGCTGTGCTTACAGCCAGCAAAACGCAAGCATGAAATCATGCACGAGGGTTTCTTAAGACCAGAGCGTGATCGGCGTTATCTATGGAAACAGGATTCATGCCGATCAATATGAAAACACTGACTCGAAGGCTCACACAGCCAGCGGCTGTATTTAAATATCACCGCGTAATGACGAAGTGAAGGAATCGACCGTCATCCTGAGCAAACGTTCGGGACCTTTAACTTCAACGGGACCTGATTGACGAAGCTCGCTGGGGCCCGACGACGTGAAGAATACGGCTCTGGAAATGTAATTATAGCAAAGAGACAAAGACGCGTGGAGAAAATATCCAAACCAAGTCAAAGGTGATGGATATGGCTGATCAATAGAAACGTCTTTGAAGGACAGATTCGTCTCTTCTCTATTCTAAGAAATGTTGTGGACTAAGCACGTGCAGCGTTGTGGTTGTGGGTTCAGCTCTTGCTGTAACATGAAGTAACGCGTCGCTGCCGTCTTCCCTCGGCGATGTTCCCTGTAGTACATCGGTCTGTTTTAGTGAGTAAAAAGTGTGACGCCTGCGATGTGCTCGATTATGCTGTTGACAAATCGATTGTGACGCGCCAGGAACAACGTGCGTACCACTGAGGCCAGGAACAGAAAAGCCCTGCCGAGTTGCATCTATAATATTCAGTGGCATGCGTTCATTACACAAACAAACAAACCGTGCAGACACCGGCCAACACGTTGGGCCGCACTGGAAATAGCCTGGTTGGATTATAAAAGGGCCGAACCGCTGGACAGAAGGTCGCCCAGTCACAGTCCAAGTGGCGGAGTGTGTCCAGGTTGCCTGGAGTTATGTAAGAGCCGGCCCTGTGGGGGGCCTCTGCAGACATGACGGACACCTGCAGCACAGGTACTGTGAGCTCAGAGCCGCCTGCAGAATCCTCTCAATGCGGCCTGATCGCTCGTCTCCGTTTGGCTCAGTGGTTTCGTTCCGCTCGGCCTGAAAAGATTCATCCGCTAACGGATCGCCGACAAACGTCAGAAGTGACAGTGACCTGGATATCAGTGACATTCATGAATAACTCGACCCAGTAGACAGAACTTTGGCTTCTGCGGGACAAAGTCAGCCACTAAACGTGGTTTCCTTTTCAGTTGTGTAACTTTACAACTCGTTGTGCGCGCTCAGAAAGAAGCAGACGCAGATCTCCTCTCGTCTGAAAAATGTTGCTCGGTGCACTAAATCTATTTACGAGAGAAATGAACCGATTCAGTGTGGTGCACTTTGAAACGCTGCCTAAAACACACGGAATAAGAAAAAGAACATAAAGTTGAATCAGCATCTGGAGGAACACACAAAAAACAACAACATTTGAGCATTTCCAAATTGGTGTTTTCGTCCATGGGAGAAGATCTGGTACGAGTCCTACAGAGGACCAGCACCACCAGCACCACCCAGGTAACCCCGGGTTACGACACAGCCAGGTGCCTTTGATTGGTCACCATGTCACGTGTTTCTCTTTATGAGGTCAACATACAGGCCTCCACATTGTCACGAAAAGCTGCACTTCCAAGAAGCGAGACACAATGTTCAAAACCTTCAAACTGTACCGAATCCGTTGTTTATTCTATTGCACAAGATAGTTGACAGATACCCTCGAGTAAATAGCAGATTCTAAGCAGATTATTCTGCATGTTCTAATCTTAAAATGGACCATTTTTTAAAAACTATCAAGTCAGGGTGAAGATCATCTCGATGATATTTATTTACATTTACTGTGTTGTCTCACGCTAATTGTATCACTTTGTCACTGTGTTCATTCAAGTGTATACAAGGTGCAGTTATTGTCGTTATTACTGGTGCTATTAAGTGGCTATAGATGGATACCCGGGCTGCAGAAACGCACCATGCGGAGTTATAACAGGCTATGCACGTTTTCACCAGACGCGGAGGTCCTCCGAAGCGCAATTACTGTGATTTCATTTAGCAGCGGGCTAACCGGCGCTGGCTATGTGGAGCTGCTACACGGGTTAGCCACAGAGCAAAGCTAGTTAGCATTACTGGGAAAAAGTCTGCATGAGAACGAGCCCCTCCGTTAGCGAGCACCGCGACCCGCGGTGTGTCGTTTCGGTGTGTACACAGCGGGCTGTGCGCCCGTTAGCCGCCCGCAGGGCAACAGAACAACTAGTCCCGTTTTAACCTCAAGCTAGCTTGAAGGGTACAACTGCTGGCTGACGTGGGCCGATAACGAAGGCTAACTTCTGCCCATTGCGCGACGTGACGCTGACGTCTGTGGTCGTGCTCGCTGCAATTGACGTGTGCCTCCCAAAATCGCACACAGTTGTCGGGGGGGGGAAAGAGTGACGGCAGCGGTTAGCCGGCGGCTAAGCGGCTAAGCTAGCCGCAGCTAGCATTCTGGGTAAATCCGACGGAAGGGAAGGAACCTTAATCTCTAGCGCACGGGAGCAAAAGCTTAACATTACGGCGCTGTGCATATATAACGCGCCGCTAGCTCGGTAGACTCGTTGACGTCGAGGCGGATTTTTCAACCTTTAAAGTCGAGCTGACAAACTGAAAGTGCCGACTGTTTGTGTGTGACCAGCAATGCCGTTTTATGTAACCCGTTAATAAGCTAATTACACCCTTTGCCTGCTACAACTCGGATGCTAACGTTAGCTTCCACTAGCAACGCCTAAAAAAGACCGGTGTGTCCCGTTATCCACGTCCTGATCCACTCCGCTCAGAGCGGGTTCCGTGCGGACAACATAATGGAAAAATAGAGCAACCGACAGCGCTAAATGACACCCGCGTGTTTACTCCCCACTGATGCGGAGGCGGACTGATGAAAACGCGACCGTATATGCACCAAAATACGTTTTTAAATAACACTTCAGACTCACTATTCCTTGATAAGCACCATCTTCGTCACCCGGGCTGCGCCTGCGCACTGGGAGCGGACACCAGTTAGAATTATCAACAAGTTCAGTCCGCCCTCCAGGAAAAATGTGATTGGCTGCAGTGCTTTAAAACGATATGCTTTAATGACATTGATATTTATTTATATATATTTTAAAAAGTTTTTTCCATTATAGTTTTCGACCTAATATATTTAGACTTTTTTCAAAACATTTTTCGACCTACTATTTTTTTTTTGTTCCATATTTTGACAATTAAAACAAAAATTCTACCTAATATTTTTTGACCGAACACATTTTTACAAAACCCTTTTGAGCATATATTTTTTACTTTTTTTTCCCCCATGACATTTTTTGACCTAACATTTTTTCAATACATTTTTTGACCTACATTTTTTGCCTTTTTTCAAAACATTTTTCGACCTTTTATTTTTTAACTTTTTTGACCTGATAATTTGAATATTTTTTGTTGCATGATATTTTTCGACCTAAAATAGGGTGACTTTTCATTTGCATGACATTTATTTTTTGAAAATGTATTTCAGACCTAACATATTTTGACTTATTTTCCAAACATTCTTTGACCTGGTATTTTTTAACACCTTTTCTAAAAAAAATTGGCTTAATATCTTTAGGCTTTTTTTACCATGACATTTTCTGACCTAACATATTAGGTATGGAAAGAGAATAACTATGAACACAAAAGAAGGAAACAAACATTTTTATTCTTCCACATGTTCAGATATTTCTATATAGGAGTCCGGCATTGCTGCAAAATGGTACATTATAAAGTTATTTGGTACCATGCTGATGATCATACACATCCTCATAAAAAATATCAAAAGGTTTGCCCCTCGTCATCAATTATCTTCATATAAAATGTGTTGTAATGACCGGAAAAACACAGCTTACTTTACAAAATAAACATCAATCGCAGCAATGTTCAACCATAATTAACACACCATAAATCAAAATCTAATTCAGGTCAACTCTCACAAACGTATAGCGAACATTTAGGAGGAAGGCGCTCAGTCGGCAGACTGGGAGGACGAGACAAGGAGACATGGAGACAACGATATTCGGAGAGATGGAGACACAGAGACAAGAGGCAATGACATGTGGAGAGATGGAGACAAGGAGACATGGAACACATGCTCTCCAAGCCAGAGATTGTCTCTTGTCTCGTCCTTCTAGCTCTCTCCACAACGAAGGCACAGTCATCACATTCAAAACATCCCTTCACCAAAAACCAGTCGGTACGAAACAGCACTAAAGTTCTTTTAGATCAGCAGGTGTTGCTTAAAAACACCCAGAAGGTGTTAGGGGACAAACCCAGAGGAGGACCCTCAGCATTTGGAGGAAGGGAAGAAGTGTCCGGGGGAGAGGAACTTGAATCCGTTCCCTGAGGGGAGCTTCACGCCTCCTTTCGGTGGCGGCGGCGGTGGCGGCGGCTTGGCCCCCGTTTTTTGCCGTACGTTCGGCCGGTCGCTGTTCGACGCCTCGGCGCTTTTGCTCGAGGGCTCGTGTCTCGGGGAGAGGTGGAGCAAGCCCAGCACGTCCTTCTGGACCGTGGTCATCCTCCTACCGGTCCCCCCTCGCAGCAGGCTGGCGGCGCTGGGCAGCTCGTGTTTCTGTCCCGCCCAGAAGGTCTTTAAGTCGTGGACGGCCTGGATCTTGTGGTCCCGCTTGGACCGATCCGGTTCGGGGGTGTCTGCGGGGCTGGAGGGGCCGGAGACGGACCCCCCCGAGGAGCAGGAGAGGGCCGGCGAGATGTGGCCGGAATACGGCGAGGTTGGATACCTCGGCCTGAGCCGGAGGGACGCCTCCGGGAGGGACGACGGGGGCGAGGGGGGAGCCGGGACAACGAGCATCTGCAGCGACGAGGAGCGTGACGGGGGTTTGGGACGCGTCGGGGGAGGGGCCGGGGGGGAGAGAGGGGAGGAGCGAGGCTTCAGGCCGGCTCCGCTGGGGGGCCGGCTGAAGGCGCTGCTCTCGGAGGGCTGAAAGCCTCGCGCTCCCCCGGTTGCGGGAGACCCCGCCCCCCTCGCCGCCTTCTGAAGGCTCTCCACGGCCTGCATGTGGCTCTGCGTCTCCTCCAAAATCTTCTGGGCCAGCTCCTGCGGGTCCAGCTGTCCCACCGGCACCGTCCTCTCCTCCTGGGACTTCACCGTGCTGTCCGTCTCCGTGCTGGACTGGTCCGACTCCGAGCTGCTCGCCTTCCCTTTCCCCGTCCTCCGAGGAGGACAGCTGGGGACGAAAAGAGACCACAGTCACGTGGACATCAAGCCAACAAGGGGTTAAGTACTACGACACAAGAGACAAGGAGACGAGGAGACAAGAAGCAAAATAAACCCGGAGACAAGGATACAAGGAGACATGTAATACATCTGTAATTGACTTTAAAAGGGGAAACGTCCGTCTCTTCAGGATGTCTCTGAAGTCCATCCTGGTCTTTGTCTCCTCACACTTACGTGTCCAGCTCGGCTCTGGAGCCGTTGGGGGCTTTTGGCGGCGGCGGCGGCGCTTTAATCGGCGACGTCGGCGTGCTGATGCTTCCCTTGGAGGAAATGGTGAGCGGGCACCCGTGACCCCCGGCGGACCCCCTTCTGGCTCCGCCTCTCGCGGATCTGTGTCCCCCGGGCAGGGGCAACGTGTCGCACTCCCTCCTCCCCCGCCCCAACGGCTCACTGCTTATAATGGAGTAGCCCTCGTACTCCTCCTCCCCGCCTCCTCCTCCTCCTCCTCCGGGATCGCTCGGTCGACCTCTCGGCAGGCCGCCCGAGTGGCGGTGTGAGGCGTAGAGGCCCCCGCCGCCGCGAGGCCTCTCCGGCTCTTGCTGGTGCGGGCGCTGGCTGATGATGTCACTCCCGGCGGGCTCGGGCCGCGACAGGAAGCTGAGCGAGGAGGCGAGGGAGCTGAGGCTGTAGACGGAGATGGCGTCGCAGGAGAGGTTGTCCGGGCACGCCGGGGGCAGGAAGGAGGGCTGGGGGGGGTACCAGCCAAAGGAGAGGGCCAAGGAGTGGGGCTGGGAGGCGGACTGGGAGGAGGACAGAGACTCCAGGAGGGAGGAGCTATCCATGCTCAGGCGCTTGGGGAGCTCCGTGGATTCTGGGGGGGGGGGGGGGGCAGAAGACACAAAGCTCCATAAATCAGAAAATAGCGTCAACAGACACGAGACGTTTATCTAAAGTTCATCACGCTCACCAAAGAGGGCGAGAAGCGCCTGCAGGGCGAAGTGCACGACGCGCCTGCTGGCCTGCTTCCCCGTCTTCAGCAGCACCTCCTCCTGACCCACCTCGCACAGGTCCAACCCTGGGAGGGGCACAGGTACCGCACTTCACAGGGGGGGGGGCATTTCATTGCAAACCGAGACGCAATGAGCTTAACTACACATTCACGGTCAGCTGCTGCTGCTGCTCCGGGCGGGAAGTTTAACTCACCGAGCGCCGCCAGGAACTCGTGGCAGCCCGGAAGCCTCCAGAGCTGCACGCTTATCGCCACCTGGACGGGGGCCAGAGAGAAGTCCTGCTCCCTGTCGCCCGCCTGCAGCTGCACCAGCACCTGGTGGAGCTGTGGAGGAGGAACGCACAGGTCAGCTGTTTGGATCTATCAGGTGACCCTTTCGAGGGGCCCCGACCCCCCCGCAGCACGCCGTACCTTGTGGATGAGCTGCTCTCCGGCCTCGGACGCGGTGACCAGCTTGCAGAGGGCCTGCAGGCCCGGGGGGGTCAGACCTGAGGGCAGCAAGCACACGGTTCACGTCTCTCTGCAGGTGCATGCGATCGCAGAAAGGAGGGGGGGTGGTGGTGGAGGGGGGGGTATTACCCAGCAGAGCCTGCAGGGTGGTGCTGCACTGCTGCAGCCGGTCCCCGGGGTCCGAGGTGGGGAAGAAAACCGCGGCGGGGGGCCCGGCGCCGCCCGCCGAGAAGTCCAACCGGAAGCCCACCGCGGAGAGCAGCGCCTGCCAGCCGGGGACGCCGCCGACCTTCAGAGGGAGGAGGACGTTAGTGCGCGGGGGAGGGGCGTCTGATGGAGACAAAGGGACAGTGTGGCGGGGGGCGGGGGGGGACAAGCAGACCTTGTTCTCCACGCTCTGCTGAGACGTGTACATCGGGTTGCTCTGGCCGCTCTGGATGCGCTGCAGAGATTTCTCCACCTGCCGGGAGGAAGAGACGCAGACATTTAACGCGTCCGCGTCCTCGTCCGTCAACGCGCCGGCGGTCCTGGTCCTCGGGGGCGGGACCGGCCGGCACGGGGACCCCGACACCCTCATTTGGGGGTTTTATCATAAGAAAAGTTTTTAAAAAGTAAACGTTGTATTTCGTCAGCAGCTTTTTCATAAGCGCATTTTAAAAATGTTCTTATAATGACAATATTTATTTCATTGTAGCTCAAAGCTTTATTTAAATGTGAATAAAACGTACGAGTCTGAATCTTAAACTTCTGTTAAAACATTTCAACAAAATTTTAAATAACTATAAAAAGGTTTGACATCAAATACTTTGAATGTGGGGACTGTGTTTTATTAAAACGATTAAAAGGGAAAGCAGAAAATATTGATAATTTTTAACAAAACATATTGGGAGCTTTATGTGTTTTGAGTGCTGTGGAGTAAAATGTCAACTATCTCTATCGTAGAAGTAGACCAAGCCTAGCTGGCGCTAGCTGACGGAGGCTCGGTGCAGGTGGCTGGGTGGTGTTGAATGCGGTTGACGGTGTCCCACCAGGTGCAGCAGCACCCTCAGGGCGTCCCTCGCTCTCTCCGGGTGCTGCAGGATCTCTGCGAGGGCCTGAGCCACCAGAGACATGGGGCTGTTGAGCTTCACGTCGGCCCCCACCAGCATGTAGCCTGAGGGCCACACACACAGGCACACACACACACACAGGCACACACACACAGGCACACACACACACACACACACATTATTAAAGGCTGCGCGCGGTTGGGAGCCATTCTGCCGCGTCGGGTTTGGGCTCCCCGGCCCAGTTGGAGGGGTGGGAGAAGTGCTTGTTGTTTTGCAGCCCCTTCATGGCGTCCGTCAGGGCCGCGCTGGCTTTGGTGCCGGCGAGGAGCCCCGAGTAGAAGGCGTGCGTGAAGAGCTTGGAGGCCGCCACGGGCCCCGGCCCCAGGGACACGCACACGCACTGGACCCCCGCCCCCAGGAAGGCTGGGGTCAGACCCACCACGCCGTCGGCCGTCGCCCTGCTGCTGGACTCTGGGTACACCCTGAAAGGCCGAGGGGGGGGGGGGGGGTCAAAGGTCGGTCAAAGGTTTGGAAGGTTGAAGCGGCGCGTGGGGGCGTACCTCAGGACCACCAGCTTGACGGACAGGCTCAGGTCCCGGATGTCCGCGGCCGTGAGGAGGAAGTCGTGAAGCGGCGGACTGTAGTAGGCGCTCTCCCCGTCCTAGCTCGTCTCCTCAGCCCTTCCCAGCGAAGACGCCGACCCGCCGCGCGGCGACCTTTCGCGCGGCCGCCCAGCCGCCGCCGGCCCCTCCCCGGCGCCGTGCTCCCGGCCGGGGGCCAGCACCAAGGCGGCGAGCTTCCAGGACACGTGCGTGGCGAAGTGGACGCACTCCGCTGGGCCCAGCGCCGCCAGCACGCGCTCCTTGGTGGCGCCGGCGCCGGCCAGGGGGCGGCACCCCAGCTGCTCCCCCAGCCACAGAGCCTCGTCCTGGGCCGAGGGCAGCGGGCCCCACAGCCAGCGGTCCATCACCGAGGGGGGCAGGCGAGGAGCCCCGACCACCGCGGCCACCGAGCCTCCGTCCGAGCACAGCGCGGGCCCCCCGCGGCGGGACGGCGGCTGGGGGGGGGAACACGGGGGTCACGTACATACATCTCGATTACCTCAATAACACGTCTTCTTTCAGACTGGAGCCTTCGCCCTCGTGGTGTCCCGGGTTCGACCCCCCCCTACCTTGATGGCGGCTCCCAGGCTGCCTAACGAAGGCACCGAGATGAGGCTGAACCTTTCGTAGAGGTACTCGTTGGAGGAGCTGCCTTTGAGCAAAGCGAACGGGACGAGGTACAACTCCCCCTCCAGCACCAGCACCAGCTGCCTGTGCCGGCCCACGGGTCCACTGCTGTGCATCAGCGCCTGGGGGGGACAGAGGAAGACCCGGGGGGGGTTTACAGGAGGGAGGTGAGCGCAGTGGAGGGAAGCAGCCTGCGGGCCTACTCACCCCCTCCATGGGCGCTATGAGCAGGTCGTACAGGGCCCGGAGGGGCGGGGCTCTGCTCAGGGCGCTCGGCCGCCGCGGCGGAGACGACGGGACGTCTTTCGCCGGAGACACCGTGGAGCTGTAGAGGCTCGTCATGCTCTGACAGCTTCTGTGGAACACGCATGGACACATGCACACACACACGCAGACACACACACACACACACAGTGGGAGGTTTGTCTTTGTGAGTTAAATGTTGCATCGTTCCCTCCGGCAGTTGTTGAGATATTTCACAAGTCAGAGGTCGCAGCCGGACCTGTTGAAGAGGTTGTTGCGGGACACCATGCGGAGGTACCCGGTGGGGTCGTGGTTCAGCTCCAACAGGTCTCCTGCCTCGCTCTCCGTCTCGCTGCCGGAGCACCGCCTGCCAGGTGGACACGAGGGGGGCGGGGCTTAGGACCGCCAGCAGAGTGCACGTGTGGCAAACGCGGTGAGAAGGACCGACCTGCTGTGATGGCTGTCCACGCCCAGAGCCTCCCTGGCGTTGCCGATGTACTGATCCAGAGACAGAGGACCTCCCCCACCTCCTCCGCCCTGCGGACTCCCACCACCGGCGTCATGGAACTCCTCCAGGCCGGATTCTCCCAGGTACACCTCGTTGAACTTCACGATACCTGCCGCCGCATGTCGGGAGGACGGTGAGAAAAAAAAAAGATCTCTTTAAAATCAGTTTGTAAAACTTTAGAATGCATTTAAAACAGTTAACCACAAGGGGGGGTCCTGAGGTCACGGAGGTCAAACTGAGAGGGACGTGAACAGCTGGTTCACGTTTCAGCCTGAAGGGGGCGCAAGAGGACACCACAGGGAGTCACATCATTTTAACACAAATGACAACAAAGTAACAAATAATAATATATATTAACATTTGATTCATTTGATTATCTATGGAATGTTCTACGTGTGTGTGCGTGTGTGTGTGTGTGTGTGTGTGTGTGTGTGTGTGTGTGTGTGTGCGCGTGTGTGTACCTGTCCCCGGGGAGATCAGCCAGCTGTACAGAAACCCCCCCGCCAGCGAGTAGTAGAGCACCAGGGCCCGCTGCCCGTTCACCGTCTCCAGGATGTGCTCCACGGTGACGGGCCCGTAGGGGTCGGAGGTCGCGGCCGGCCCGCCCCCCTTCTGCCGCTCCACCAGGAGGTCGGCGAAGGCTCGCGTGCGGCCTCGCTCCGCCGTGGCCAGCGCCTCGTCGTGGCGTCCTTGAGCGCAACACAGGAAAGCGATGGATGAGGAACAGAAGGTCCGGAGGGGATCTCAGCTCGCGCGCATTTTATTCCCATCAGCTCAGCCGTCGGTGACACAGAAGGTCGCCGGTTCAAATCCCGCAGGGGACCCCGACTTAACCTCTCAAAATGCTCCTCATGAACTGACTCTGCTGCATAACACCTCACGACGCACACAGGATTAACACACATATGTGATAAGTGGGGACAAACAAGGTCACCGAGGCTGACGAGGACACTCTGGAGGGCCTGGTACGAGCTGGTCTGCAGGTCGAACAGGGACAGCTTGCAGTCGGTGCTGTGCTGCGTCTCCCGACGGATCGCCTCGAACAGCACGGAGGACCTGTGCAACTGAAACGCACACAGACACACACCGGGTGAGACGGAGCGCAGTACAAATACACAGATACACAATCCGAAGTACTCAAAGTCCAGCTTCAATACAGTAAACAACAACAACAGGTCGGCACACCGTTACAACCTGTACACAGAAGTACTCACATTAAAGTACTTCAAAGTGCACTAGTACCTTTATCTTGAAAGAGTATATAAGTATTTGTGTAATTTGAGTACTAGAAAAAACAGACGTTGTTCATGAGGTAGAATAGTTATTATCATACTGGATATATTCTAGTGTTGGTTGTATGTCACTAATATTGGTTATTAAACTTGTTAGCATCCACACACACACACACACACACACACACACACACACACACACACACACACACACACTCACCTGGTGCTGGGCCTCCTCCAGGTTCCCTCCGGCCCACAGCGAGAGGCCGAGGCGATGGCGAATCTTTGCCTCATCTTCTCTGCGACCCAACTGCTCCGACAGACGCAGACCTGAGGAGGAGGAGGAGGAGGAGGAGGAAGAGGAGGAGATCAGACGCTGCTCACAGAATCACTTTAGGTCACATCCTCCATCCTTGCATCCTCCTTCCTTTCCTTCTCCCCTTTTTGTCTTTCATCTGCTGTTTCCTTCCACCGTCCACAATCCAAAGACGTCTCCTCTCTTCTGCTCGTCTCCTTTCATCTCCTCCTCACAGTCGCTAGGGGCCGTGATTGCTCCTCATCAGGCCGGATGGAGACTGATCCAACATCTAGTCCCCCCCCCCCCCGCCCCTTCTCACTGTGGGGGGGTTAACTGCAGTTGTGGTGAGTTAATGATCAATTAAGATCAGGAGGATGTGGATGTCGTCGCTTCAAGCTCTGAGCCCGATTAAACCCGTTCAGCGTTTCATCCATTTTGCCGCAGGATTATTCTTCTAACAAGGAATCTTGTTTTAAAACTCACGACTGCGGGAGCGAGTTTGAAAGAGAAGTCACGTCGGAGGAAACGTCAAATCAAAACGAGAATATTGACGACGAGCCGCCGGAGGGGGAAGCTCGCGCAGGCAAAGTGGAACTTTTTCACCGGCTTTTCATCCCGAGTTTATTGATTCATGTCGGAAACAGACTGCAAACGCTGTGAGACACATTCTGGATTCAGGTGGGAGTAACAGTTATTACATAAGTGCTCATTGTTCAATGGCGCATGAGGACGTTCTTGGAACATTTATGGGTTCGCAGTCACCTCACTGCAGGACACAAAGTGTCAAAAAAAGCTTTGCAGAATGTTGCCGTGGAACGGAGGCTGGGTGAGGATCTGCATTACAGCGGAAGTGAATCAGTCCATTGGCGGCTAATTCATTGTAGCCTCGTAGCCTCGTTGCTGGTCCGGATCACACGAGAGGTCAAATTGTGCACCTTTTGAATGTGCAAACAAACTGCTTTAAAGCAGCTTCCTCACCTTCCTGCAGGTACATCACGGCCTGGGCGTAGTTCTGCAGGGCGTGGTGCGTCCTGCCCAGGCTCCCGTAGGCCAGCGTTTTGCCGATCAGGTCGCTGGTCTGCGCCGCCACGCTCAGGTGCTGCTCCTGGAAGACCACGGCCCGCTCGTACTTGCCGAGGGCCTCGTAGGTCAGCCCCAGGTTCCCGTAGGCCCGGCCCTGGCTCCTCACGCACCCCGTCTGCTCGCCGATGTCCAGCGCCCTCTGGTGCCACTGGAGCAGGAGAGGCCGTCACTGAGGGCACTAGTTTGGCCTTTTAAGGAGGCGCCGTTATCTCGTCTGCACGCTAGATGTGAGCCTACAGGCGTTAGCTTAGCATAAAGACGTTGTGCTCTGCAAAATGATAGATTCTGGTTTTACAGGACGCTCGGTGCTGGATTACTCGCAGAGATCACTGAGTCTCTGCCGGTTAGTAGTTTCCCCCTGTTCCCAGTCCTTATGCTAAGCTAAGCTAAAGCTTGCTTCAATTTAATAACATACTTAATATCATTTTCACATTTGTTCTTCCATGTTTATCTTCAAACACGGAGGGCCGTTGTGTCAACATATGTAACGGCGGCCGGTAACCACGCGCAGCGGCGAGTCTGCACCGACCTGTAGCGCCGTCTCGTTGTCGGCCATCAGCTGGTAGACGCCGCCAAGCGCGTCGCTGGCCTCCGCCTCCAGGGGTTTATCCTGCCATGTAACGCAGGGTTCACTACATCGCTCTGTGCGCATCACGTACGTCTCGGCATATTCGGGGCGGTCGGTCGGACGCTCACCCCCGCCGCGCGGGCGATGCTCAGCTGGTGCTCCAGGCAGGACAGCGACTGCTCGTAGTTGCCCAGCTGGCTGTGCAAAGTGCCCAGCTCGCCGTAGGCCTGGGCCTTGCCCCCGGCCTCGCCGCCCAGCTCGTGGGCCACCACCAGCCGCTTCTCGAAGCACACCAGGGCCTGCTGGAGGCTGCCCATGGACCTGAAGGGGGGTGAGAAGAAGGACGCGACCGTTTGTGTTTCATCTTGAAAAAAAAACACTAAAAGTAAAGTGCGTGTAGATTTTAAAAGTACATATTACAGTACTGCCTTGTCCCCACTGCCAAAGCGCAGACCTCATGTGGGCAATTCAAGCAAAGCAAAGGTTAATAATTTAGGTTGCGGGCTGTAAAACCAGTGTCCTCAGAGAGGAGACGAGTAGAAACATCTAGTGGAGATAATTCAGCAACTTTCCTCTCGTTCTCTTCTTCTTCTGTGGTTTCACAGGAGATGTACTGAAACTTCCCCTACTCCCGTCTCTCATTGGCAGAATTATTACGACGGTAAATTAAAACGTGCACGTTTAAGATGAAAGCGCGTCGGAACTTTGTGTGTGAAAGTTTTCCTGGCAAACATATTGGAGCGCACAGAATATAAATGTGCCCACAAAACTAACAGAATAAAAGCCTACGGCGTCAAATGCAGCACGAGGACCCTCTGAGGGACTAATGGAACAAACACATGTTGAAAAGTAGTTCACATGTTCTCGTATTCTAGTCTGTAAAGAAGAACATATTTATAATTAATTTGACTTAATGCAAATGATGTAGTGCAGCTGCAGTCCCAATGCAGGGGAGAAGGAAACAAATGAAATGAGTTCTTGATTATTTTTGTACAAAACCTTTGCTCAGCAAAGATCAAATATAAATTGAAAATAGTTGGAATATTACTCGCATAAAAACTAGACAGCCGAAAATATAATTACGATCCAGCTGCAAGTCAATAACGCGGGAACCTCCGGGTCCGATGCGCTGTCTTAAAGCTGCATTCTCTCCATCGACCACCAGGGGGCGGCTCCTCTGGTTCTATAGAGAAGTGGGTTTTGATCTTCTCATGTACCTGTGTGCATTGCCGAGTCCCCTGTAGGCCTTCTCCTGGTCCTGGACGTGGTCCAGACTCTGAGCCACCGCCAGGTACTTCTCGTAGTACTGAATGGCCTCCTCGTGGTCCCCCAGAGCGTCGTAGCAGTCCGCCAGGTTCCCGTAGGCCCGGCCGCGGTCCAGCACGCTCTCGGTGCCGCTCAGCTGCTGCAGCATGGCCAGCTGCTGCTCGAAGTAGCCGATGGCCTCCTCGAACACGCCCATGTTCATCTTGGTGATGCCCATGTTCCCGTGGACCTGCGCCTCCAGGCCGGCGTCCCTGAGTCCCTGCGCCAGGCCCAGCTGGGCCCGGTAACACTGGAATGTGGTGGCGTAGTCGCCCAGCGCCATGTGCACGGCCGCCAGGTGGCCGAGGGCGCGGCACTCCCCCTGCTGATCGGCCAGGTCCTTGCGCACCGTCAGCTCCTGGCTGTGGAAGGACAAGGCCGCGTCCAGCTGGCGGAGCAGCCTGACGGAGACAAGAGGGCAAAGAGGTGCTAAGGGAAGAAGAAGAAGAAGAAGACGACACAAAGACCTCCGGCCGCTTTTGTCACCTGTGGACGGACCCGAGGGCCGAGTAGGCGTCGGCCTCCATCCTCTGATCGCTGACCTTCTGAGCCAGACTCAGCTGCTGCTGGTAGAACCTCAGCGCCGCCGGGAGGTCGCCCCGACACGCGCACACGTCACCAAGGTTACCGAAAGCCCTGAACACCGCCTGCAGGCAAACACGACCACATGGTCAGCGACCGCTTCGAGAGTGGGCCGGACACAACAACAACAACAACAACAAGAACAAGCAGAGGAGGAAGCGGTCGTCGACCTGTGTGTTGTCCAAGGCCTGCGCCAGGGAGAGCAGGTATCTCTGACACTCCTCCGCCTTCTTGTGCTCCCCCAGGGCTTTGTGGGCCAGGCCCAGGTTACAGTAGGCCTTGGCCTGGGAGAGCTTGTCCTGGAGGTCCTTCGCCAAGGCCAGGTCCTGCTCGTAATACCTGGGGGGGGCGGATGGAACAAGAGGCAGAGCGTGACATCGTCAAGTCCTCGTCTCCCCCACCGTGAAGAGTTCCATCGGACGAACCGGGGCTCTGACCTGACGGCGTCGCCGTACTGCCCCAGGCAGTAGTGAGCGTAGCCCAGGTTGTGGCAAACCTTCCCTTCCCCCTCCAGGTCCTGCAGGCCGGGGGCCAGGGCCAGGTACTGCCCGTAGTACGGCAGGGCCTGGGCGTACTCGCCCCTCCAGCTGTGGAAGTTGCCCAAGTTCGCTGCAGAAAAGAAGAAAAATAAATCAATTTAAAGCCGACTTTTAGGGAACCCCCCCCGCCCTCCCACAGAAGCGCCTGGCGTCCAGCTTGCCTAGCGCCCTGGCCTCGCTCTGGGCGTCCCGGAGCTCCCGCGCGATGGCCAGGTGGTGCAGGTAGTGCTGCAGGGCCTGTTCGTGGGCGCCCAGCGCCTGGTACGCCACGGCCAGGTTGCCGTGCGTGGAGGCCTGGGACGGCCGGTCGTTCACCTGAGAGAGAGAGAGACGTCACCGCGGTGTCCATCTTAGCCTCGGGGCGGGAGGCGGAGCCTGGGAGGGAGGCGGAGCCGGGGCTCACCTCCACAGAGATCTGCAGCTCCTGGCGGTGGAAGCGGACGGCCTGGTCGTAAACGCCGAGGGCGTGGTGGGCGTTGCCCATGTTGCCGTAGGCCCGACCCTGGGCGGCGTAGTCGCTCAGCTCCTGGGCGAGGGACAGGTGCGCCTGGTGGAGCTTCAGCGCCGTCTCGTACTCGCCCTTCATCTGGTGGATGATGCCTGAGAGGGCAGGATCCCATTGAAGGGTTTTTAATGACTTAGAGCCGGGTGGTTATTGTCTTTTAACCAAGACGAACGAGGAGAAGATATTTAAAAAGAAACGTTTTAAAACGTTGACAAAAAAGTCCGGCTGCATCGTGACCGCCGTCCAACTCTGACGTCCAACACATCCAACATTAATGTGAATGTTCATCCGAAGTTAAAGTCTGGAACATGCAGATATAAATAACCAGTGAGCTCGGAAAACATGTGAGATACAAGAGCAGAACAGTAAATAATTAAAAAGCTTCAGTGGGAAAATTCCACAAAAATGGAATAATAATCGCGTGCTGTCGGGCGTGAAAGTGGACTTTTCTGGTTCCACGTTCGTCAGTCAATCACTTTGAGGCGCAACCTGTGACAGGTGATGTACACGTAGAGTCTGATTGATTGATTGATTGATTGATTGATTGATTGAGATGTGTCCCGCTCAGTATTTGTGGGGAAGCTCACTCAGGTTCTGAGACGTCAAATAATGAGCCGCTTGAGTCCAAATCAGACAAAATGTGACTTTGTGTCAAATTCTTAATTCTCTTAAATCTGTCAGCAGGTTTTACTCTTTAAGAAGTAAATGTCGACACAAAGCTGTTACATACAAATACATATATACTAATCGCCCCTTTTCAACTTCCTGTTTCTAAATAAATACCATTAAAAGTCCAACGTTTGATTAAAGCGACATAAGTAAACCAAACACACTGTAGTTTATTTAGACTGAAACAACTAGAACAACACACAACGCGTATTGATGCAGCCATTCTCCAGAAAAGTAATCATTGCCTTATTATTATTTTTGTTATTATAATCAATGGTGACTTAGTTTATAAACAGAGCACCTCACACTAAAGGCACGAATAAATACAAAATAAATAAACACAGGAACATTAAAAGGTGTGTTGAATTCAAAACAAACAAAAGCCCACTGAACAAAGGAATAATAAGACCAGTGGCACAGAATTCATTCAAATTAATAATTGCATCTTTAATTAGCAAATTATAGATAAGTGTGCAACGTGGGAAAAGTAAATTCATGTGAAAGCGTCCAACCTAAAAGAATAATGATTCATTCTGTTTATCTTTGTTTTTATTTCCATTTATGTGATAAAAGACAGGAGTAGAAGCCGGAAGAAAACTTCTGAAGGAGCACGCTGGAATCAATCCAACGAGAGTAGGACGCATGAATAAGGCATCTAGAGAAGGACGCAGGAAGCATGGTTCGAGAGGAGGACGCAAGAAGCAAGGCAACGAGAGGAGGACGCAGGAAGCAAGGCATCGAGAGGAGGACGCAGGAAGCAAGGCAACGAGAGGAGGATGCAGGAAGCAAGGCAACGAGAGGAGGAGGAGGGGGAGCATGAGGAGAAGGATGAGGAGCATGAGGGGGAGGAGGGGGAGCATCATTAAGCGGATGAGGAGCATGAGGAGAGGAGAGAGGAGGAGGAGGGGGAGCATGAGGAGGAGGAGGGGGAGCATGAGGAAGAGAATGAGGAGCATGAGGGGGAGGAGGGGGAGCATGAGGAGGAGGATGAGGAGCATGAGGAGAGGAGACCTGGCTCAGCGGGCCTCCTCTAAGAGGATTACTGAGAGCCTGCAGACTTGGCGTGAACATCTGGTTCCTCTCCTCTGAAGCTCTGCTCACACGAGCTTCTCTGAGGCGTCAGCGGCTCTCTGCTGAGATGGTGGGACCACCCCCCTCCCCCCTCCCCCCTCCCTGAAGATTAGAGGTGTGAAAGCCAGGTGAGATGTGATGACGGGGTGCTCAGCAGAGACAGATTACAGGATGTGACCCTCACGAGGCTGATTTCAGGAAAGGGAATTAAATGGTTCCACGATGGGACCAGATATATAATAATAATAATAATAATAATAATATATCTATTCATTTATTTAGAGTCCTGTCTGTGGACAGAGAGGAGACAAGGAAACCAGAGAGGAGAGGAGGAAGAACCCAGAGGAGAGGAGGAGACACAGGAGGAGCATTCCTGAGTGATGTCGTGAATCGCTGATCACCGTGGCGACGTCCTGTCGGTGGAACTGTGAGCAGGGCTCACAGCTCCGGTTACCGCGGTAACGCCCGCTCAGCGCCGGAGTCGGGTTCCCCGGCCTCTCAGATATCACCGCGGCCGCAGAAACCAGAACCCCGTTAATAAATCATGAGCGCTGATTGGTCCAGAGAGGCAGCAGGACGTCACATGACCCGCGGCCTGTAGTCACAGCGGTGCTATGAAAGCCGGGTAGTTTATTATTGATTATTTATGATTGACATGACATTTTGTAAAGCATTCGTCTGAACCTGCATCACAACGAGCCGCTTCCCATTGATACATTGATGTAATTCTATACTTCCTCTACATTGACTGATGAAATTCAGTCTACTAAAGCAATAAGGTACAGAGGCTGTACTTTATCGTCCAATAACTGTCCCGACCGAACCGACCGAACCGACCGAACCGACTAAACTGGCCAAACCGACCGAACCGACCGAACCGACCGAACCGACCGAACCAACCGAACCGACCGAACCGACCGAACCAACCGAACCGACCAAACCGACTAAACCGGCCAAACCGACCGAACCGACCGACCCGGCCAAACTAATCATTTGTGGTGTTTCCGGTCATTTTTCCGGCGATCGCCACCGCGCTAAAAGCTAAAACTGCTACTGTGGGTGCGCGGTGACACGGAACGCTCGGGTCGATGTGAACAGCAACTGTACATTATGGCTCAATAATGCACCGTGACTCTCAACCAATCACAACGCTGGAGCTCACCCAGGTTGGAGGACGCTCGGCCCTGAGCCGCCCGGTCCTGCAGCTCCTCCGCGATCTCCAGCTGGTGCTGGTGGTGCACGCGAGCTCTCTCCAGGTCCTGGGGGTCGGGGGGGGGGGTTTGGACCGTGAATATTCCCAAAGGAACAACGGCAGTCCCACGCCACGTTTTTCCCCCCCTATCACACCCACCTGCATGCAGCGGGCGGCGTGCCCCAGCCCGGCGTAGGCCCTCATCTCGATGGCCCGGTCCCCCAGCTGCTGGCCCAGCTGCAGCACCCGGCCGTGGTACGAGACGGCCTTGTCGAAGTCCCGCTGGGAGTGGAAGGCGCTGCCCAGGTTGCTGTAGGCCCGCGCCTCCTCGCGCCGGTTCTCCAGAGACTGAAGGGGAGGAAAGAACGAGAGAGAGAGATGCAAAGATGGATACGTCGCGTGGACACGGCGCCTCCTCTCAGGGACGACCTTCGCGGCGCCGTACCTTGGCGATGTCCAGGTGCTGCTCGTGGCTGCGCACGGCGTTGCTGAAGTCGCCCAGCGCCGTGTAGACGGCGCCCACGTTGCCCAGCTGCCGCGCCTCGTGCAGCCGGCTGCCGGTCTGCCGCGCCAGCAGCGCACACTGCTTGTGGCTCGCCAGCGCGTTGGGGAAGTCGCCGATGGCCGTGTACACGTGACCCAGGCTGCTGAGGGCGCCGGACGCCGCCTGGGAACGCGCACACACACACACACACACGACCACAGGAGTTAAAATCCAGAGAACAACAACAGAGAACACACACACACAAACACACATTCTGACGTAAACGTAATTTTATTAAATAAAACCAAACTGCCCCTTCGAGGAATTTACCTTCTAAATAGAATCAACAAAATGCTGCTCATGTGTGTGTGTGTGTGTGTGTGTATACATTTGTGTGTGTGTGTGTGTGTGTATATGTGTGTAAACCAACAAACCAACTGAAATCCCAATTCCCATCAAAGCGATGAGCACAAACACATAAAATGCAGTTTGTGCGTCTTCAAGGCCGGAGGATTTAATAAATGGCGTGGAGCCTCCGTGTGTGTGTGTGTGTGTGTGTGTGTGTGCGTGTGTGTAAGCCAGTAAACAGCGTTTATATGTGCGTTTATACACGTGAGAAAAAGATGGAGACTGACAACCGAAAGAAGATCAAAGGTGATGTGCGACCTGTCGTTACTCTCTCTTCATGCTAAGCTAAGCTAAGCTAAACTAAGCTAAGCTAATCGCTGCTGGTTCTACTAATCAACTTAAATAAATGTTTGAGTAAAGAAGAGATAAAGAAATGTAACTGTTACAAAGAAAAACATGACATCAAATAAGAAATGAAGTAAATAAACACACAAACACAAATACACATAAATAAGGTAAAAACCTCTCCAGATGTTGGAGGGGAAGTCTCCAGATGTGACGTTCCGTCCTCCCGGATAGACTCAAACTATTCATTTATTCACAGGAATTGCTGCTCATAAGCAAGTGTTTTGTTTACAAAGAAATCGCAGTGTGTGTCTGTGTGTGCGTGTGTGTGTGTGTGTGTGCGTGTGTGTGTAGGTGTGTGCGTGTGTGTGTGTGTGTGTGTGCGTGTGTGTGCGTGTGTGTGTGTGTGTGCGTGTGTGTGTTAACCATCAGCTCTTTGTTTGGCAGCACGCCGTCTGGAAGCGCACAGCGGGCGATATGGATTTGTGTCTCGCTCGCCTCGGGCTCCACACGTGTACGAGGAGAGGCTCGATAATCCGCCCGACAGCAAACACACCTGACGGGCGCCTCGTCACACCACACACACACACACACACACGCCTACACACACACACACACACGCACACACGGGGAACTGGTCTCCAGTCTGAGCGGGACGACGCGAGAGCCGCTTTCATTAAAATGACATTCCTCAGAGCATCATTCGTCTCACTGACAGATGTTCAATCCGCCTCTCAGCTGGCAGGTGACCGTGTGTGCGTGTGTGTGCGTGTGTGTGCGTGTGTGTGTGCGTGTGTGTGCGTGTGTGCGTGTGCGTGTGTGTGTGTGATATTGAGCTCACCGCTCACAGACGCACATTACAGACACCTTAACAGCTAAAAGATTTATTCAATAAGAATCATAAGAATAATCGGCGCTGTGGTCAGTTTTCAACCTGCAATAAAAATATTGATCAAAATGTATTGAGTGTTTTTTAATTCTTCTGAGAGGAGCAGAAGTACAAAGAGATGAAGAGAAAGTTTATTGATTTAAAACTTTCTAACAAGTAGAAGAAAGTATCAGAGAGATTGATCCTTCAAAGTCACCCACCATATATATATATATATATATACATGTATATGTACATGTACATAAATGTACGTATATGTTGTATGTGTACTGTACTAGTGGTGCAACAGAGAGAAGTTGATCTCTAATCAGTAATCGATTTGAATGATATTTGAACCCTGTTTTTTCTGCTGATGACTCAATCTGATCTGTGACAATACAACAAATACAAGTATGAGACATAATTACTGCAATTCCATTCATTTCACTTCAGCCCAAAATGACCCAATGACCTCCGACCTCTGACCTTTGTATGAAATATATACAAAATATTCCTCAAAACGCTCTGAAGGCCCAGAATCAAGAGACCAACGTTCACACACACACATCAGCAGACCTCCGCCCCGTACGCAGGTATGTACATGGTCGCCGCCCCCCCCCCCCGCACGCACCTCCCTGTCCTTGAGCTTCATGGCGAGCACCAGCTGGTTCCTGTGGTTGGCGAGCGCTTCTCTGAAGCTGCCTTTGGAGAAGAGGGCGGAGCCGAGGTTCCCGTGAGCGCGGCACTCCCCCGTCTGGTCCCCTGCGGAGGAAGAGACGAAGAGCGCGTGAGGTTCGCCCGTCCCCCGCCGTCCCCCCGTCCCCCTCCCCTGTCCCCCCTCCCCTCCTGCATACCTAAGGTCTTGGTGACCTCCAGGTCCTGCTGCATGTAGAAGACGCTCTTCTCCACGTTGCCCAGAGCCCAGTAGGCGGAGCTCAGCGCCGAGAAGACGGAGCCGCGCAGCTTCAGGGAGCACGTGCCGATCTTAAGCCCCGCCTCCAGCACCACCACCGAGGCGGCGTGGAAACCGTGGGTCAGCAGCTCCTGGCCGACGACGGACACCACCACGAACGGGCTCTTGTCCAGCTTCATCCTCCGCAGCTGCTGGTAGGTCGGCTCAAGGGACTCTGGGGGGGGGGGGGCAGCATTTACACCAACAGTCGTTAACGTTGCCAGTAGTGATGATGTCATAATAAGGCACACTGGTAGAGGAACCTGTGGGCGCCCGTGTTATCGACCTGTGGGGGGGTTACGGTGCAGTGACCCCCCCCACTTTCTTACCACCTCTCAGCCCGTCATCCCGTGAAAAAAGGCCTCAGCAGACCAACAGGCGCCAGAGAAGCCAGCGGAGCGGCGCCCCCCCCCCACATGCTTACTGCACACCTGCCCCCCCCCCCCTCCCCTGCGTACTCCAGCATGCCAGCTCCAGGTGACGCCCCTGGGTCTGGGCTTTGGAGGCGTGCTTGCTTTGAAGCTTTTTTTTTTTATGTTGCAGCCCCCCCCCGGACAGCAGAACGAGCTCCCACAATGCATCACACCTGCACAGGGATGCTGCAGAAACACGGCGCACGCCACCGCGCCGCAACTTCTACCAGGACGATACTCGAGTTAAAAAGGAAATGTGGGTTAAGGCCTTAAAATAACAAAACCAACATCTGCTTTTCCCCCACCAGTGAGGACCCCCCCGAACACCAAAAGTAGACGCTTTCTCCGCTGCACCGCTCAGGCTGCATGTGGTCACGCTGCAGGGAGATGCACACTGGGAGCACTGGGGTGAGCAGATCGATGACACGCGTCTAGTCTACCGCGTGAATGTTTCATCACGAGGCGCCGATTCTTCTGTTCGCTCTCAGCTCGTCTGCGTCTTCCCTCCTCTTTGTCTCATTCGGCCTCCGGTGCCCCCACGTACCTCCGAGGGGCGACTTCATGGCGGCCTCCACCATGCCCACCAGCAGCTGCAGGCTCTTGGGGTCCTGGGCGAGGCCGGAGGCGAACGCCGCCAGGGCGTCGGCGTGACGACCCAGGTACTGCAGGGCGACCCCCTGGCGGAAGTAGGCCTGCGGGAGGAGGAAGAGGTTGGGAGTTTGGATCAAGACGAATCAATAAAAACTACGTGATGGTGGTTTCGTTCGCAGCTGCCTTTAGTGTCTCTGGTTACACCTCCATCATTCCCAGTTACCCACCGTGTGTTTGCTGGCCTCACTGTAGTTATTAATGGCTGTGGATACAAGTCAAAGGGGGGGGCGCTCGAGCCGACCCGTCTTACCCCGTCTCACGCTGTAAGCATTGAACATATTTGACGGTTATGACTTCCTGCGACGCCTTCCAGCCCGTCAGCGTCTAGTCGGAGGAGCACTGTGACACCTTCTGTCGGGCAATAAGAAGCAGCTTCTGCAACCGATGCCAAGCCCCCGCCGCCCCCTCCGCCCCGCCCCGCCAAGCAGCTCGCCCTCTGACCCGGGCCGACATATGGACGCCGCGCCCGGATAATCAAGCCGCCTCGCCGCCGAGTTGGCGGCGGCGTGTGTTTCTCTCTGAGGCCTCGGCGTCCGCTGGTGAGCTGTGACCACTGGAGACGGATACAGTCTCTGCGTGTGTGTGTGTGTGTGTGTGTAAACATGCCAGAGACTGACAGGAAGCGACGGCCTCCTGCTCACACACACCTGCCCGTTAGCTTAGTGCGGCTACGCTGCGTGCTAAGCGCATGCGGGGGGCGTCCAGACAGTCTCACACACAAGTCAAAGATGCTGAATCTGCAGCATTGTCCTGCTGCGGTGATTCCCTCCATCGTCACCACGGTCTGATATCATTACGTTTAGCTTGAGTTACTGACGGATCAATGAGGTTAAAAGGTCCCGGCGCCTCATTTCGACATCAGTTTATTTTCTGCAATTATCCCAAATCCAACCAAAGAATCTTATTGACTTTTAGTGGATGAAAGTCACAGTTCAGTCAGCCGGATTCATCCTCATGAAGGGGTGAAAAGAAGGTCCTGAGGATCCATCCAGCAGATGAGATACTTCCACCTGGACCAAAGAGGACAGAACCAACCGAGTGTGTTCACAAGAGAGAGAGAGAGAGAGAGAGAGAGAGAGAGAGGGGCTATATGTCAGACTAAAGGATGAACAGATGCTTCAATTACTGCTCATGACTCACATTAATCGACAACAGATGGCAACACAAGGGGCGAGAGACAGAGAGACAGAGAGAGAGAGACAGAGGATCGCTTAAAGCAGACGTGATAGAGATTGATGTCTTTGCAAATCGGACGATCTGCCTCAAACCTTCACTCTCGTCTCACCCGAACTCAAAGTGGATGCAGAACCTTCCAGGACGCCACGCCGCGCCCGTCAATCAAGCCGCTGTGTTTCAGCAAGGACGCCAGGTGGACGAGGAGGGGACGTCGTTGTCATGACGTCGTTTTTTTTGTTCTGAGTTCTGAGCTTTGGCCGCTAAAGAGGAGCTACTTCCTCACGCGGCGTGATGCGACGTAGTATCACGCCGCGTGAGATCATTATTTAGGAGCCCGGCGGGGGTCCGGGGGAGTCGTTAAGAAGCTCCGCCCGCACCGCCAGGACGCCGCTTTCCAGGATGGAATGCACCTCATGACCCCGTGTGAAGGATGACCAGAGCCCCGGGGAGCGTTTGTGAGGGATTGGATCTTGTCTTCTTTGGGGTGGAACAACTGTTATTAAATGAAACCATGTGAGACGTTTAGAGTGGAACACGTCTGGGATGTGAGTCAATGTCACAATTAATCAAGAAAACGGTAAAATACAACGGGTCAGTTTCTATATAAAGATGTGAAGGTCTAATGTGAATGAACACGAGAACAGAACGGGACCGGACAGGTGTTGTTTGTGTAGTAACCCTCTAACATGCACACACACACAGACACACACACACACACAGACACACACATCAACTCTCCTCTGGTTAATCTGCATGAATATTTATCATTGTTTCACTGGCTCAGATGCAATAATTGAGTTGGAGTTGTCCTAACCACCGTTTCCAGTGGGACCAATAAAGACGTAACACGAGCAGCTGGGGTCGGGAGGGGGGGTGAAAGGGGGGGGCTGATGGTGATGGATGCCGATCGAGGGAAAAGAGCGGGTGGAAAAGGAAACCTTGTTGTCACTTGTTGGTTTAAAATAAATTGTGGCTAAACGAGTGCAGTCGGTTTGTCACATTGATGTATATGGAATATGTCGCGCCCCCCCGACCCCCGGTCCCCCCCCCTCAGTGGATGTAACAGCAGTAGTGATGAAGTGTACAGTAGATTAAGCCTCCCTTTGAAGCGTGACCTCTGGAGGTCAACCTGAAGAGCCGCTGACACACCTTCCTCTATTACCTACACACGTCATCGGCAGCTGTTCAACAAAACACCTGATCTCTCACACACACGCACATGCACGCACGCACACGCACACGCACATGCACGCACACGCACGCACGCATGCACACGCACGCACAGAAGCATCCTATTTATCCTCTGGGTTTGTTCCCTGAGTGACCAAAAGCAATTCTCCCCCTTTTCTGAACTTCTCACGTATCGGCCCCCATCTTCAGGCCTGCCTCTCTCCTCACTGCTGTGTAGAATATGCTCGGGGGGGAGGAGGGGGGAGGAGGGGGGGGGGGCACAAGGCCTTCTGATCCTGTTAACTGCAGTACAGTGGAGGGTTTTGCTTCTCCTTCGCCGGGTAATTAGACTGTCACTCACCCGGTCTCTGCTGCACCTCTGTGTGTGTGTGTGTGTGTGTGTGTGTGTGTGTGTGTGTGCGTGTGTCGTGCTGCGTTTGATTGCCTAAGTGACCTTTTGACCCTCAGGGTAAACATGTGCCTGCAGGGGAAGGGGGGGCGGGGTCAAAAGCGAGAGAACAGAGGCGCGGATCCCGTCATTTTCTCATAGACGTCTATGGGAGACAGAGGAGTCGCCCCCTTGCTGGGTCACTACAGAGAAGTAGAGTCATTTTCTCATAGACGTCTATGAGGAGCAGAGGAGTCGCCCCCCTGCTGGTCACTACAGAGAAAGTAGAGTCATTTCCTCATAGACGCTTATGGGAGCAGAGGAGTCGCCCCCTGCTGGTCACTACAGAGAAGTAGAGTCATTTCCTCATAGACGCTTATGGGAGCAGAGGAGTCGCCCCCTGCTGGTCACTACAGAGAAGTAGAGTCATTTCCTCATAGACGTCTATGGGAGCAGAGGAGTCGCCCCCTGCTGGTCACTACAGAGAAGTAGAGTCATTTCCTCATAGACGTCTATGGGAGCAGAGGAGTCGCCCCCTGCTGGTCACTACAGAGAAGTAGAGTCATTTCCTCATAGACGTCTATGGGAGCAGAGGAGTCGCCCCCTGCTGGTCACTGCACAGAATGCAGCTTTAACACACTAGACAGAGGACGCCGCCTGACACTTTATATTACAAATACTCACTTCGTTGGGAGGAGGGGAGAGGTTGGAGTGACAGGTGGAGCTGGACTCGCCCACAGAGGGACTCATTTTAAAACACGGCCCCATGTTCCCTCCTCTGACTCCTTTTATTCTTTCTCAAACGTTCTAAATTCAAATAAAGCAGCAAATCCCTTTTCTATGTGTGAAAACCTGAGCAAGGAATCTACTCTTCTACTCTGTGTGCTTGAGTAGAGGCGTATCTCCATATGTTACATTTACATGTTCACACTGAGGTCCGTTTTATTAGCTCTACATCCAGCGAATGAGTCTTTTTCTCCTGAAGGCCTTTGGAGGTTCGGAGGAGGAACGAAGTTGCTTCAGATGCTTCGTTTGACAGGTGAGCCGTCTGCTATCTGAGGCTCTCCATTCAGATATTTAACGGATACGCCTTAAATAATTAATATTAAGATGTGCATGAAAGTTTAAACAGGAGATTCTCCAGAAATGTATGAGATCCGATAGATAATTTACTGGAAGAACTTGAGCAACAAATATAAAGAGCGATGACTGTTGAGGTAGGAGAGCTTCTTTTTACGTACATTAAAAGCAGCAGTAGGCTACTTGTCACAACCAGCAAAGGAACTTCCTGTTGGAATCGCTGGTTCTTTGAGTATCGATACACAGCGTTTGTTTCTTTATTTATTCCTCTTGTCTTTTCTTCTTTGTTTGGTTTGTGTGCTTTTATTTTGGCGTCACTCTGCTGAACATCATTGGAGAGACGCGTTGATCACACGCAATGATTATTAATGGCAATTCATTATTCCGGAGGGAGCACACCTCCCTCCCTCCTCGCTCTCTCCTCTCCTTCCATTCTTTTTCATTAGGCTCGGGAGGGGGGGGGGAGGAGGGGGGAGGAGGGGGGGGCACCTCAGCGAGCGCGGCCCACTTTAGGCTCAATTTAGAGGAGCCGGCTAGTGAATTGTGATGTCACGGCCATTGTCTGCCAATTACCATTCAATTTAGCAGAAGAAACGCTCTGGAATGTGATTACAGGCACTGGATGGCGTGTGTGTGTGTGCGTGTGTGTGTGTGTGTGTGTGTGTGTGCGTCCAGCACTCGTTGTAAAACGAGGTTTGTGATGTTTTCCACCTTTCATATATTCTGGAGAGGTTTCCGTCCTCCTGCTCTCCCGGGACGTTTCCACACTCAGTTGGTTTTGCTTTTTCAGAAGTGACATTTGCACCTCCCCAAAGCAATGGATGCAGCGACACACACACACACACACACACACACACACACCGATAGCACGTAGTCATCGTGCTTTCAACAGCTTTTTATCCGCATTATTTACAGCTGATGTTCCGCTTCTGTCGTTTTGCTCGCCGGTGACTGAAAGCAGGCGGCTGCACGCTAAGACGCACTGGAGATGACATGGAGGGATAAACTTATTTCAAAACATTTTTAAACCTATGATTTTAAAAATATTTTTCCATTAGATGTTTTAACCTAAAATATTTGGATTTTTATTTCAAAAAAATATTTATTTTTTTCTGTTTTTTTCACTTTTTTCAAAAATAAATTTTGACTAATAAAAATATATCTATATTAATTTCCATTAAATTTTTCGCCCTAACGTATTTTGATTTTTGAATGTTTTTTTTTTACTTTTTCTTAATGTCTTTTCAAAACATCTTTTGACTTAGTGTGGTTTTTTTTGGACCTGTTGTCAAAGCATTTAAAAAAAAAGGTTCATCCACTGGGGAGACGTCAATGTCTGAAGTCTGATCGAAGGATCATCACGTCAGAGGTCTGTAGGTGACGTCCTCATGCACTAGACCTTGGGAGAGAGGTCCCTGTCACATCCCTCGCTAACCAAGAAGATCGATACCATTCCTGTGCGTTAAATGTAAAGCCACGACCACTAGCTGGCTCACTTAGCTTAGCACAACCACTGGAAACGGAGGGAAACTGCTAGCGTGGCCTCGTCTGAATGCAGGAGCATCTGCCCGTTGGCGACTCGAACGCTCACAGACGAACACGTTGTACCTGGTGTGTTTATTTCCGTGCGCCTGCGTCCGGGGGTCCGCTGGTTGCCCGGCAACTGATGCCAACAAACATTTAAAGTGTGCACAATGGAGCAACGCTGGAAAATAACTAGCAGGCTGACAAATACCAAATGTAAATCGCCCATAAACACAAATAACAGAGGGGACGTTCACACACACACAGTTTAACTGAGCCTCGCTGACAGAATAATGACTGCGGCTTATCTTTCATTCCAGTGCCACATAGCTCATTTAAATAAAACATTTAAAAAGGTGTTCTCCGTCCTCTCTCTACCCCCCCCCCCGACTGGTCCAATCCCATTTGTGTCCTCACAAAGCACACGTGGAACGCACAACGCTGAGCGCACACACACACACACACACACACACAGAATCATTTCCCACCTGATGGCGCTGAGGAACACACGGCGGATTTCTGCCAACATCTCAGCTCAGAGGCAAATTTATTCAGTGTGGTCACGACGAGAGAAGGAAACAGACCAAATGATCATGTATAATGTATATAAGGGTTATAAAGAAATGAGATCGTGTAAATAAACACACACTCTATTGCTCCACAGGCGTCCATTGGGGCTCCCGAGCAGACTCATCACATATCTCTGCTATGATGTGAATATTAAGAGGAGGACTCGCTCTGAACGCCAATAAGTCCTCGTGTGTATTTATTTAGAATCGTCGCCACAACCTCATTAGTTTTCCTCGTGTTTTAATTCTCCAAACATGTCACCCAGCGTGTCTGCCCGCTGCGTTCCGCCTCCGGAGGGCGAGATGCACAGAAGAGTAGAAGCACAGCGCGAACCTTTGAACTGAAGGTCTGCGTGTCAACTTGGTATTGGCGGGAGCGTTCTCACAAAGGTCACCCGTTAGCATGTTGGTGGCTCAGTCTTTAGTGGAATCAATCCGTGTTTCTTGGACACGCTGTGAATGACTGTAACGAGAAGAGAGAGCGTAAATGAACCTTTCTGTGAGCGTGGACCAGAATGAACTGAAACCTTTAATAAAGAGGTTAGCTCGATATGTTGACAACATCAACGTCTCTGTGAGCTTCTCGATCTCTAAGACGGGAGCTTGTTTCTATTCATTTTTACAAATTCCAAAGAGGCAGAAAGCGGATGAAGCTTCAAGAAACCCACATTCAACACAGGCGCGTACGACGGCGAGGACAAAGTGGGGAAACAGGAATGGATTCAGGTCCACGATGGAGACGAGCGTTCGACCCGAGACACAAACAGCAACACGCCAAAGACAAAACGTCTGCACTGTTCTTCTTATGCACCCTGAGCAATCTGTGCAAAGTGCAAAAACACGTAGTGGAAATGTAAGATTCTCTGCTTCACTTGCAGGAGCATTTCGAAATCACACACAGACACACACGAACACACACAATCCAAACATCCAGACAACTGGTGTTGTTTACAGAGAATTATATGGGATGAGTCGCTGGCCGCTCTCCTCCTCTCATCGTGTCCATTAGCAGGCTAACAGCTGACCGTCTGCTCCTCTCAGACCCCCCCACACACACACACACACCCGGGATGAGAGGGGCCCCCCACACACACACACACACCCGGGATGAGAGGAGCCCCCCACACACACACACACCCGGGATGAGAGGAGCCCCCCACACACACACACACCCGGGATGAGAGGAGCCCCCCACAGCTGGATCCACCACAAAGAAGATGGGGGCTCACGTTCTCCCCTGTGATCTTGAGC